TGACCCTATTACAAGTCCAGTGTTATGACCCTTCTTCCTATGGGCTGTGGTTTTCTGGAGTACCAGACTAGTATGACTCATACAAATGGCTATCATTTGTTAATTTCTTACTATACACTAAGCCTCAGCTGAGCTCCTGTTGTGGATAACATCACTTAATTTTCACATCAATCCTGTGAGTGAGGTGCTTTCATCCTGATAATAAATTTKATTAGACTGTACTCAGAGAACTTATCAAATGGTACACCAATGGGAAGTGGCTGATTGGGAATTTAAACTCATGTCTGTCTGACTTTAAAGCCCAGCACATACTGTTTATAAAMACTATTCTTTKTCACCAATATGTCTGAAGAGTTGTTTCCAAAGAAGATTCTTGTCACTTGAACACTGCTTTTSTCTTCCTTTTTAAATTTTTCTTTACTTAAAGAATATTTTTGAAAAATAGAAAAGAGGAAAGATAATGAATTTATCAAATCCTTTTTACCTTCAAAATGTAATTTTAGATAAATTAAAGAACTAAGTCAGTCTTTACAGTTCAACAAAGTACATTCATATATTTCTATTTTATCAAAATGTAGCAATTTAAATCAGCTGGGTGACTTGTTAACAGTTGTAATAGTCATACATGTTCAGATCAAAAATAATCATGACTATCTGATTCTGTCACCTCTGTCAACATAGACCATTACTATCCTTCTCAAATCAGAGCCCTGGTCCATTACCGCCAGACACTTAATAACATGTGGCAAATGCATAAAATGAAGTCTTGACCATCAATGTAATGTCACCCAGAAGTCATGCTTCCATTTATTCCACCAAAAATAAAGGAAAAGAGAGTTCTGAACTGTGACAACTCATCTGTCCTTTTTCTTCACCTTCCTATACCAGGTTAACTCTTACTCTTTTTTTTTTGGGGGGGGGGTTGTACCAGGAATTGAACTCAGGGACAATAATTGATAACTGAGCCACATCCCCAGCCCTATTTTTTATTTTATTTAGAGACAGGGTCTCACTGATTTGCTTAGTGCCTTGCTTTTGTTGAGGCTGGCTTTGAACTTATGATCCTCCTACCTCAGCCCCTCAAGCTGCTGGGATTACAGGTGTGCGCCACCACACTGCATGCTGAGGGATCCCATGTCCTCTGCCTGAGGGMAGTCTCTGGCCAAGGAAGATTTTTTAGCCTCTGTATACGGAGCAGGCCARAAGGGCTTGATCATTAATGTTCCAAAGAACATCCACTAACAAATTTGGGGCAATGGTTGATACAAAAATACCCCAAYATCCTTTGGAATAATGGAGGAGGTTTCATACTGTCTTYCAGAGGATTCCTAATGGRAATGAGYTCTAGTTCTCCATAGCAGTGAACTATAAACACATACTTAATTGACTGTCCTTTCTTATATCACTTACTCCCTTACTGTGCTTCTTGGGAGCATATTTCAAAATAAATTGCTTATATCCAACCTGTGCACTATTGTATGTTGTTGGGCAAATCCAAACTAAATAGTTTTTCCTGTTTTTCTCTTTTCCCTTAGGGAAAGAAATCTTGAAGAGAGTTTGGTGATGGTATGTTTGTGTCATTTGTATACATGAGAGGCATAAGAACTCAATAAAATATTATGGCTATGTAAAAGGAAGGGTTTCATGTTTATTTAATTAGTAATAAAAATATAAATGTTAATATATTGACATAATGTGATACTACCTACACAGTGGCAAAGTAGATGTATTTATTTAATGGGCTGCTGCACTCTGTAAATAGTGAATTAATTAATTTYAGGCATACAAATACATAAATATTAAAAGTTAATATTTCAACTTAAAAAAAGCAAATTTCAATAGAATTTTATTAATATAAGGTTCAAAACCTTGCAATATTGTRTTCAGGGACACAAACATATGAGACAAAATTCAAAGAAAACACCACATCCAGGAGAATGATGTTATCCAGGGGGAGGAGGAAAGAGTATGGGATCAGGCCAGAACCTCTGGGGATTTCCACTGGCATCACTCTTTTCTTTAAAGTAGGTAGAGGAATATGTGCACTGATTGTATCATAGTTTTTTACATTTAGCCTATTTTTCATTAATATGATTTTCTAATTCTTTAATATTGGATAAAACATTTTTAAAAAATATCAATAGGACAATAACAGATAACTTTGTGATATTGTCATTATAGGATATCACTAAGAATTAAAATAATTGTCTGTATGCTGAAACATAAAACAAAGGAATGATAGAGAATAGGCGAGATCCTCACCAATCTAGCTTTCCAATAATGACAGGTATTGTTGCCCTTCAACCTCAGTCAACCAGTATACCACATAGCAATGCTTCTCTTTTAGCTTGAATGATTATTTTGCTAAAGGAAAAATTAGCATTTTTTGCAYAAAGAACATTATGCAGATCAAGTGACTGAAAACATTAATTTCTGATTTTTTTATTCATTAAATTCAGTCATTTTCATTGGGAACCAATCATCAGGGAGAGCAGGCAATGAACAGCGCAGACTTCTGTGGATACTCCCTTGGAAGCCTCTCTCCACAGCCTCTCTCTGCCTTGTCTGTACCATAATCTGGACATCACTTTTAGTGTCTATGTCATAGGCTTCCATGGAGGCTCATAACACACATTTGTTCTCTAGGGGCTGCAGAAAAGAAAAATTACACAGGTCAAAGTCAGAACACGCTTTGCTTTTTAAAAGAATTTAGCAAGGAACAAAAAGTAAACATGAGTGTAGAGTGTTGTGGTATTTTGCAGAAATTGTTTGGGTAAATGGAGAAGCCTTTAAAGAATCTAGAATATGGGGAGGGTGCTGGGTGTTGATTGGCCCCTGGGCCAAGCTTAAAGCCAGAGTGCCTCAGGAAATGCTTTCCTGCACTTCACCCTGCTCAAAACTATTCTCTGAACCTCTGCTCCAATACTCCTGTTCTCCAGTCTCCCTGTTCTTAAACTTTGATCCTCTGTCTTTATCTGCCCTATAGATAAAATAGTCTGCAGGGTGGACTACCTAATTTGAGGTTTCCTCCACTGATACTTTTTCTCAAATTTTTCTTATGGTGCCTCTTAAATGATGGAACCCATAAAAGTTTTACCATAAAAGTCAACCTAGTTCTCCATATACCAGGCTGGGCCTGACATTCTGAGCTTCTATTGAGATGGAGAGAGTTTAGGCTGTACCTGGAACCACAAGACTTGTAAGCATGTCTCAGAACTACTATGACAAGCAGACAGGTTAGTTTGCTTTAGGCGATATGGATGGAGTTCTTTTCTCCAGGCCTCTCCCCCAATCCAAGAACAACATGCTGAGCTGGGGAAGAACCCTGAAATCAGAAGCTATACTGAATTTGAGCTTACTGCAAAGACATTCCTTCATAATGGCACATGTTTAAGAGATATCAGCCTAAGTAATTCTCTCTCACCCTCCTCCCCAGATCCCTAAAAGAAAGATTGAGAAGTAGGCTGTTTCTTCCTGGATAATACTCCTCAGCTCTCCTTCCTCTGGATAAAGTAAGGTATCACACACATCTTGATCTTCAATACTTCTGTGAGGTCCTTCTCTATCCCAGAAAATGTACTCCTTTCTTTCTGCTTCATATTCTACCCTGGTCTTAGTATGAACCCTGGAATGTTCTACTGAGTTGTACATCTGCTTCATGGATGTCAGAATGGACCCTGAGAATAATGAGAAGGGTTTGCAATACAGGAAAAATAATTTGAGATATATTTCCAGCTTCCCCTTTAGACTCTTGCTTACTGAAAAACAAGAGGAAAACAGCACTGATAGAAGGTTTTTAGGCACCCAAGAGTAGTTACAGCCAGAAGTTTGCTTACCTTCTGGTTCTGTCAGCTTACCTTGGTGGCAGCAGACAAAGACCCTGCACTGCTCATTGGGTGTGGCAGGTACTTCTGCTATGCTCTGATTCTGAGAAGGACAGACAAAAGAAATACACTTGCCTCTTCCTCTTCCTCCTCCTCTTCCATCATCTTCTTTCCAGTGTCCTGGTGTCTTTTCCTCTGTATATCATTCTTTTTTTAAAATAACTTCAATTTTATTTACAGATGTAACTACATATTAATTGTACAAACAGTTGGTTTTATTGTGACATATTCATATAGGTATACAGCATAATTTGCATATTTAGACTCCAACAAATTTCACAACAAAAATAGTCCCCAAACATAAGGCTTAACAAATTTGGACATGAAAATGATAGCTGTCCTGATTAAAAATGGCACATTTTTTATTTACAGGATATTTGAACCAGAAAACAAAATCAAGAAACACGGGAAATTAAACCAAAGTCAAACCTTTTCAGTAAACAAAAAAGCTTTCTACTCACATGCTGCATTTGCACACTCAAGGCCTGTTTTCAGGTCCAATCCCTACAGTCAGGATTTGTAAGTGATACAGAATATTGGTACCTCTGCTTCACCTCAGAGACCTGTCTCAAGTCCTAGCCAGAAGTCTTTCTCTTCATACAATTTCTTCAAGGTTCTTAAGTACAGGATGTTATTTGAAACCACAGAGATGCTTCTCTCTCACTTCAACAACAACCTTTAGACTAATAAAATGATAGCTTTTCCAATATAGATTTTTGAGAAGGCAATCACTTTAGCCAAGATAAAACAGCAACAGAATGAGAAGAAAACGAGGTGTAGAAATGAAAAAGCATGAAGACAATTAATATTGAGAAGCACAAGTTCCATTTTTTTTTTCAGCCTACTGGGAAAAACTTCTCTTCCTCTTTATGAGCCCTCTGATGTCCACAAACATCAGATCCAAACATGGATCCCAGTGTCAGAAGACCAACCCTGGAGTCTTCATTCTGTTACTTGTTCCTTACACATCCTGAGACAAATAACTTTAACTCTCAGCATCTCAGTCCCCCATGCTATAAAATAGAGATAATAATAATACCTTATGCAAACCAAATAAAAGTATTTCATCAGCTCTGATGTGTGGCTGAAGTGTTAGCTACTGATCTCTCTCTACAATTATTCAGGAAGGAAGCCAATCAGGTGGAGGGCCTTCCTCAGGGATGATTTCACCTCCTTGTTTCTCAGACTATAGATCAAAGGGTTTAGCATGGGAGTGACCAAGTTATTCAGGACCTGAACAGTTGCATCCAGCCAGGGGCTTGGGGTTGGCCTTAGATAGATGAGGACCACTGGCATGTAGAAAAGCAGGATGGCCGTGAGGTGGGCACTGCAGGTGGAGAAGGCACGGCGTCGGCCCTCTGCAGAGCGGATCTGCAAGATGGAGCAGACAATGCAGCTGTAGGAGGTGAGGATGAGGAGGAAGCAACTGAGGGGCATGAGGCCAACACTGATGAACCCCACCATCTCCAGAGCTGAGGTGTCCGCACAAGCCAGCTTCAGCATCACTGGGATGTCACAGAAGTAGTAGTCCACCTCATTGGGACCACAGTAGGGCAGCTGGAAGGTGAGAGTGGTCAGAAAGGTGGCCTGAATGCAGCCAAAAAATGAGGTCCCTGCAGCCAAGATGGCGCACACTCTGTGGCTCATGATTATGGTGTAGCGTAGAGGGAAACATATGGCAACAAAGCGGTCGTAGGCCATCACTGTGTACAGAAAACACTCAGTGCAGCCCAGAAAATGGTAGAAGAAGAGCTGGGATACACAGCCCCCATAGGAGATGGCTCTGCTGTTCCCTGACAGGTAGAACAGCATCTTGGGAGAACTCACAGAAGGGAAAAATATGTCAAAAATAGATAGCTTGCACAGGAAGAAGTACATGGGGKTRTGAAGCCGAGTRGAGGARATAATTGCMAGCAAGATTAGCAGGTTCCCCATGAGGGTGAAGAYRTAAAAGGACAAAAACAGGACAAARAGCATGGTCTCCAGGYCCTCTGTGTKTGGGATGCCCAGCAGGACAAACTCAGTCACCACTGAGCGATTCCTCATAGTTGTAAGAAAGTCTGACCCTGAGTAGGGGTATGAAGCACCCAAATTTGAACAACAGAGTCACATTATCAAGCTTTGACTATGTTTTTAAACAGAAGCGATCTGCCGTCATACGAAAGGCAAGAGAAAAATCTATGCAATAATTTCAGGTAATAAGAGATGGATGTTTCAGAGTCAGTCAATCCAATTTTGGAAGGGATATTTTGGAAAGGCTGATAATTGCCCACCATGACAAGAGCAGAAATTTAGAGTTATACTCAAAACATCTTCAAGTGAGAAAACTTTTTTCCATGGATTTATTCTCTTTGAGCACATTTATATTTTGAAGGCTTGTGATATCTTTAATTAACAAACTCCAACTATTTATTACACTCTGCAAATAACAGAAAATGATTGTATTAAGATGCAGGTCACTCTATATGAATCCTGGCTTAGCCTTTTATTWGCTGAAATAATAAAAATAACTGGCACAGTGTCTTCCATAGGCCTGGTTTCATCATCTGCTACATGGAAGCCAAAATTTTTACAACAATGTCTGCACAAAACATCCTGGTATCACAGTAAAGTTTATGAAATGTCCATGAAAATATCTGGCAAATCTCTATATCCTAAGTAAAAATTTCCCTTTATTTTATGCATCTTAAAGATAGTTATTTAAGTATTTTCTATTAATGCTGGTATTATGTAATTATTTTCCAATAAATGTTTTGTTAAATAACACTGTTGAATATACTTAGATAACATTTTCTTCAGAATACATTCCTCTGGATTTTAGAGTGCTAAGTTCCACAATTTTATCACATGACACTGCTCTTGTTCTTCCAGTACTTTAATTTTTTTTCTACATGGACTTATGGCTACTTAGAAATATTAACCAAAACAAACAGTAGCAGCAAGGAAAGCATCAAGTTCATGTTACTGTGACAAAGTGGAAAGTACAGTGTCTCATGTTGAACTAAAAGAAACAGAAGCACTAATTAGGAAGGTTATATAAGTGAAGAGCAGGATCTACTGACTGGAAGATGCAGGTTCTCCTTCTCATTATTCACTTAACAATGGTAATAATAATTGCACATATTTACACACATACACACATACCATTTAATTAGTACTTACTATGTTCCAAGGACTGGATCCATGCTGTGAAACTGTGACTTATCTTTTAAATGTACCTATAATAAGAATTTACTATTACTATTTGCAGATAAGAGATAGAAGCTCAGAAATATTAAGTTGCCCAAGAATGCAAAGCTAGTATATGGTAGAGCTGTTTTATTTCATTGTCTGCACCCTTAATCATTAGTCGAATCTGCCATCTCTTTGTCTCTGCTTTCTGAGACAGTCTGCTCCACTTATGGGCAATTATACCCTTCCAGATGTGTCCTCACAATTGCTTTACATGAAGGTGAGAAAAATCTTTGCATCTAAATTATTCCTGGTAATTTGCAGTCTGCATTTTAGACCACACTTGTCTAAATTCTCTTTAGCTTTTAGAGATCATAAAATTGGTTTTTCCCGTGCCTTTGATGCTACAGCATAGTACCAGCTGTAGTATAGTAGTATAGTATCTAATACAGGAGCTTTCTCGTTATAGAGTCACATTCAAGATAGAAATTCCAATCATATGCTGTGAAAAGTGCCTCTGAAAAACATTTCTAAAAATAAAGACCATGCCAGAATAAGTCAGCTATACCACTCTAGAATTGGGCAAAAATATAAACACTAAGATAAAAACAACGACATTTTAGGGGGTGGGAGTTAGATTCTACCACTAGTTACTAATTCTAGCCACACCTGAATAGTCTCCCTGAACAACTCAAATTCCTGTGAGCTCTTCACTCCCTCCCCTTGGTTATCTAAGGCTCACAGAAGTCCCTATTCCTTGCCTATAATCAGACACCATGATAATCCCTGATTAGATGATGCTATTTGATTTTTAAGTCCATTTCAGGAAAAAAAGAAGCTAGAAGGACCAGAAAGGTCCCCATGTGTGGTCTCCTTAATAAGTAGGAGACAGAGATTGATGGTGAGACCCTGACGGAAGTTTAATCTTGCACATTTACCGTTGCTGAGCAGAGCACAGTGTGCTCCAGCCATAGGAGCTGCCATTCCTTACTTATAAAAAATAGAATCTCATGGGGTTTATGCAACTGAGACCAGCATACACTCTTTCTCCCTGGGTTGCTTTCTTAGAAGTGCTTTTTACATCCTTTTAAGCCCTGATTGGAACTCAGTGATAGCTCTGAGGGAGCAATTAGTTTGTCAACCTCATTCATCATCTAATCATGAGATAATAGTAATGGTATCATCATAAAGAGGTGCTCTGAGATTGATGGCATGGGAAGATAGGCTGCCTACTAAATATTAGATCACTTGCTATGCTATGCCCACATTTGGTAACCCTTCATACCTTCAAGCCTTTGCTTGTGATACTATTTCTCTCATCACTTTTAAAAATACCTGTGTATCAATGTAACTATGTATTTGTTTCTAGTAAATATCACTGTTTAAGACAGGACTATAATTAGATAATAACTCTACTAATAGTATGTATCCTCAGGTACSTATTTCAAAAGAGAAATATGGGGGAGCCATTCATAACAGAATGACCAAAATAAATATATAAACCATCTCAAAAACAAATTATCAAAACAGTTATTATTTAGTTAATAATTAATTCTAAGCACTTACCACATAATAAAAGCTGTGATAAAAATTTTCATTTATTATTACACTTAATCTCTAAAAGAAATTTCATAAAGTAGGTGGTATTGTTTGACATAATTTTTTTACAAAACAAAGAGTAAGTAACTTAAATATTAAATAATTAGGAGGAAACTAAGCTGAGACTCTAATTTCAAAGTACTGATAATGAATTCCAGAGATTTGAGTTTTGTACTCGAAGAATAAAAAGAGAGAAAAATGTGGTCTTCAGATGTTTGCAGAACTTGTGGATAGACGTGATATGAGTTGTTTGATAAACTGACTTGTGAATCACGGACAGACATAATAGGAAGACAGATGTATTTTAAAAATAAGAAGCAATTATTATAATATATACATTAATAAAATAAGCAACCTTATGATACCACCTCTTCTCTATCACTGTAAGTATTTAAGAAGATATAAGGAGAACAGTCTTAAGTGTACTATTGAGGATATTCTCATTGTGAATGAATAACTGAAGATAGTGCATGTTCTTTCTGATTTTAAAATTATTTTATTTATTTTATTATTGTACCTCCATCCAAATCCATGCTGTAGACCTGAGTCACTAACTCAGTTGCTGAATTAGGAGATACTAAGAAAGCTGCTGAAATGTGAAGCTATTGTTATGGTTGGCAGCTCTAGTACTAACACACAGTTTATACTAGCAAATACAGATACCCGTTGTCCTGCTTTTTGCCACATATGACTTGGTTTCAACATCCAATTCTCAAGTGCATCTGACTAACAGAACTTCAATCACATCAAAACCTAAAATGCAAGGGAGTCTTGGAAACAATGTTTTATATTTTCTAACCTCTGCCCACTAGGAGTTAATGTGCTCATCTACCTACCACAGTGATATTCTTCTTTCTCTTTCATTTCAGTGACAATAGTTTCTTCTTCTTTTTTAATTTTAAAAAACAATATAGTTGGGGTATAATCAACATATGAAAATATTTATATATTTAATGTGTGCAAATGAGTTTAAAGATAAGTATATACCATGAAGCCATCATCACAAACCTGTGCATACAATGAACCTACACACTGCCTCCAAAAGTTTCTTTCACCTTTAAACAAATGTTTAGGTATGAAATGCAGTTTATCATCTATAAGCCCTATGCAGTACAGTAAATCTCTAAGACTTCGTCAGTATAACTGAAAATTTGTGCCCTTTGATTAATATCTCCCTGTCTTCCTCTTCTTCAACACCCTGGCTACCACCATTCCATTCTCTGCTTCTGTTGAGTTTATGGCATTGTTGTGACTGTAAGTTTTCTGTGATTATTTTAAATTTTGTTATGCAACTGGTATAATGTAGGAAGATTTTCCTTTTTTTCCAAGGCTAATTTACTCCTTTTTAAAATATTAAGAGTACGAAAAATATCCTAAAACAGATATTAGCTGGAGTCAAGATTAAACCAATTAAATAAGTCCATAGAAGCAGTGTCATGTATCTGATAAGTGACTTGCATCTTATCTTTAAGAGTTCTTAACAATAAGAACATCATCTCCTACATGAACAATTAAAATGTTAAGAACTTCCCTATTTTGGTACAATACTGAAACTAAATCAATCACTTGATATTGTATTTTTAAAAAATATTTAAAGTATCTTCTATGGAAACAAAATTAGCAGAGTATGATCTTAGTTCTTGAGTTTGGAAAACAGCTAGTCAAAATATCTCTAGTTTTGAAACTGAGGATCTTAAAAAGGTGAAATCAGGATGGTATTTCCAATATGACTGATTTTTCTGCTTTGAACATTGAATGCCATTGTCATATCACTGGGTATTGTAGTTATACCTCTTGAGTGATCCACACATAGCCACAGACATGAAGGTTGACCATATAGTGTTGTTGTGAAATTTCTGATGTGTAATAAAGTCATAAATATGCAGCTTGTAGGACTTGGGGAGAGAGCAGTTTTGTTTTTAGTGAAAGTAGAATTCAGATCTTGGCTACAAGTATATAAAGAAAACACAAAACACTTAATAGCATTTGATAAAAGGTGTGATATTGTATACTCACACAAACCTAGATGTATGCCCACTAGCCTATTTCTCCTAGACTCCAAACTTGTATAATGATACTGTACTAAATACTATAGGCAATTATAACAACAGTAAGTATCGTGTACTTAAACATACCTAAACAAAGAAATTTACAGTATAAAGGAAAATAATACAGGTCAGAAATTCAGATCCACATTAAGAAAGAAGAGTAAAGAGAAGGAATAAATCAAAATAAAAATAAATCTATACTTTTTATTCATAATTGACCTATAAGCTAATTTTAAGGTAATAGTAATAATTCTTTTGGGAGGTAGGTGAATAAGTGAAACACATGCATAGGAGCAATTCCATAATGGATGGGAGAAAAGAATTTAGGAACACTGTTACAATGCATAAAATGGTACAATGTTACTTGAATGTGGTCCTAGATTAATTTTAAATGTATATTACAAATTATAAGGCAACAGCTAAAACTTTTTTTAAAAAAATATAATATGTTTAGGGTAGAGACAAAATAATATCACATAAAAGTGATTAATTAAAATTAGAAAAGGCAAAAACAAGATGGAAAGATCAAAGAACAAATGAAACATAGAAAATAGTAACAAAAACAACAAAAAAACAAATAACCCAATCAACAAATGGGCCAAAGATCTAAACAGACACTTCACAGAGGAGGATATACAATCAATTAACAAGTACACAAAAATATTCTCACCATCTCTAGCAGTCAGAGAAATGCAAAGTAAAACCACTCTAAGATACCATCTCACTCCAGTAAGAAAGGCAACCATTATGAAGTCAAACAATAACAAGTGTTGGCGAGGATGTGGGGAAAAAGGTACACTTGTACATTGCTGGTGGGACTGCAAACTGGTGCAGCCAATTTGGAGGGCAGTATGGAGATTCCTTGGAAAGCTGGGAATTGAACCACCATTTGACCCAACTATATCCAAAAGACCTAAAAAGAGCATACTACAGGGACACAGCTACATCAATGTTCATAGCAGGATAATTCACAATAGCTAGACCGTGGAACCAACCCAGATGCCCTACAACAGATGAATGGATTAAAAATGTGGCACTTATACACAATGGAATATTACTCAGCATTAAAAAATAACAAAATCTTGGCATTTGCAGGGAAATGGATGGCACTAGTGCAAATTATGCTAAGCAAAGTTAGCCAATCCCTAGAAAACAAATGCCAAATGTCTTCTCTGATATAAGGGAGATGACTCAAAACAGTGTAGGAAGGAAGAGCATGAGAAGAAGAKTACCACAAAACAAGGAAAAGAGGAGGGAGGGAAAGGGAGGGAGAAGGGGAATTGCACCGAAGACGGAAGGAGACCCTCATGGGTTCACAAAATACATATCCGATGGTGTGAGGGGGAAGGGAAGAAAAAAAAGAGAGAGAAAGAGATAATTGTCACAGTAGAACGGCTAGAGAATAGTGATGGGAGGGGAGGGGAGGGGAGGGGAGAGAGGGAGGGCAGCAGAATACAACTGACACTAGGATTGCTGTATATATACACATGGATGTATAACCAATGTGATCCTGCAATCTGTACACATGTAAAAATGAGAATTCATACCCTATTTGAATCAAATATATGATATGTCAAGATCATTGTATTGTCTTGAGCAACTAATAAAAAAAGAAAATAGTAACAAAAACAGTAGATATTATCCAAATAATATCAATGATTACTTTAAATATAAATGATCTAAATACACTATTTAAAACACAGAGATTGCCAGAGTAGATTATCTAAAACAAGCAAAAAAATAAAAAAAAAAAAACACCATGTTTTCTGTAAGAAACTTTCTTTAAATTAAAACAATTTTATAGGTTGAAGTTATGGAGAAAAATGTATTAGGCTAACACTAATCACTAGAAATCTGGAGTAGAAATGTTAATTTTAGATAAAGCCAACTTCAGAAAAAGAAAAATCATCAGCAATAAAGGTATGCATTACCTAATGATAGAAGAGTCAATTCTCCAAGAAGGTTATAATAATCCTAAATGGTGATACACTTAACAAAAGAACTTCAAAATATATAAGGCAAAACTTCAGAACTGAGAGGAGAAACAGAATCCATGTGATGGTTCATTGCATGGGGGTTTTCATCTGAAGGAAGATGGACTGATTTTAAAGAAACAAGGACTGAACTTGGAGAGGAATATCAGATAATCAATCCCCAGGATGACTGTGCTGGATTGGGGTGAATCGGCAGGGCATTTTATTAAGTCTCCTCACTCTATTGGAGCTCCTCTGTTTGAGTAAGAACATCTTGAGGCAAGGTTATCCATCATCTATCTGTGGCCAAGTTCTTGGCAGGCAGGAAACAAGTGCAGAGTACAGGAAACCACAAGGATATGAGAACAGCATTTCTCTTGGGTTCCCAGCCTGTATCATCAGTTCCTGAAAGCACAGGCGGCCTCAAATCCTAGTCTGGTCTGAAAGCTGAAAAGTGAGAAAAGGGGGCTGAACATTAAGTGTAGTGACCAATTCTATGCATAAAACACATCAGTGACATATTTTTATGTGCAGATGGTAGTTCCAGAAGTTTCATGGTCCTTGGAAACCTTTCTTTTACAATAATACTCATGTGATAGATAAAGATGATCTAGATTGCAGAGTGGGATTCAGCCACCTGACAATACTGGGCCCCCAGGTCTCAAACTCCAATGTGCATACAAGTTAACCAGGGAACTTTGCTAAAATGCTGACTTCAGTAAAGTAATTTTTGGTGTTGTCCCAAAAGTCTGCATTTCTAACAAGCATCCAGGTGATCCTGCAGTCCTGTTCCACTGATCACAGCCATAGCAAACTCAGAGGAACATTCAGATTGGAATCCATAGTGCATTCACAYGAATTTTCCTAAAGTCAGTTTTCACATAGATGATCCAATAACTGAGAGAAAACTACTGAGGTCCTGCTTCAAATTCTAGAAAATTCAACATGAATGTATTAATAGACTGTAGGTTAGCGCCCCAGTTCTGCAAATGGAAAAATTACCCCTGAGGGGGTAAGCCATTTGCCTTAGTCTTCATGTACCTAGCTATATATGATTTTCTGAAAACTGCCCTTTGCTTGCTTCTTGCAAGCAAATCAGCCTACAGGAGATGTGGGGACAGAATTCAGTGCAAACAGTGGACATGTCAGCAAATTTGACACAGAAAATAAGGGTAATAAAACCAATGAAGATTCAATGAGTGAATCTATGAAAGACCAGAAAACAAAGTATGCATACAAATAGGCATTCTAATACTGACAATACAGCAAATAGGGCCACTTCATTCTGATAAGTTATGAGAGCCATCAGATGGATTTCCACTGTTCTTTATGTGGTGAGCAACCCAGGTTCAGGTCTACCATCAATCCTACTCTTTCTCTATTGCACTAGATCAGAACCTAATATGCAGTCCTCATGGGTTCAGGCTAGCGCTAAGGTTATAATCCTACAAGGTGTTCAGGATTTAAGAGAACATCTGTCTCCAACAATTAGCCCAACCCATGTCGTTTAGGCATAGATTGGAAGCAAAAGCATCTGGTATAGGCTCACAAACCCAAGAAGAATTCACTGAGAAGGATTCCAACAGGGCTAGGGCTCACAGTGTACCCTTCATGTACTTCTTTTTGTAATCTTGAGGTCACATCAACACTGATGTTGGCTTTTAATTGCCCTCCAACTCTTCCTTCAAAGATAGAAGACTTCAAAGCTTACATGTATAGTTCTGGTAAATATATAAGAGCAAAAATGGGTGACAAAAATTCTACAGAGAATTCTATCATTTAGGCAATCTCTGGCATCAAATATTGAAATTGTTAGTCTGGTGCCCATGTCACCTGTTTTTCTTGTCATCACTCTGGAAAGCCTGGGAGGCATATTAAGTATTGCAAATGGATGCTTTTGAACTTCTCTAGGAAAGGTATAGGTTCTGGGACCACCATTACTTGTCTGAGGGTCATGCTGGGGAAAGAAGATTACATTCAAAGGGATGTGCTTAGAGAGGCAAGGTGGTGTGAACATCCTTTACTTTTATTTCAAGAGAGATATAGGTGAGATTTAACACACAAAACATTACAGCAGAAGAAATGGTGAAGGGGTGCTGATAGCCAAGGAGAAACCTCTCCCCCCACCCCGCCTTTTTCTTTTTGCTGGAAGACATCTTTAGGGAGCAAAGACAGCAGGGTCCACAGATGACTTCAGGAGAGTATTTGCAGCCTTCACAAGCATGGGCACAGTGGAGCCTGTGAAGAAGGTTAAGAACCATCAGGGATGAGGGACAGCAGATGAGACAGCTGTTCTCCCAGGGACCCCCAAACCCTGAGTTCTGCTTTATCTTTCCTCAATACTCTTTATTTTTCTTTACTTCATGCCCACATTCTCCTTTAGTTTTCTCTGGTCCCAAAATCACTCAGCAGCTGTGAGATAATAAACCTCCAAGGAGGAGGTTCTCCAAGTCCAGCCGGGTACTTATTCAGCTTAGTACTGAGAGAGAGGAGAGCAAGCATACTTTATGTCCTTGTAGAAATTCACACTCCCCATCCATGTTCCCTTACATCTWTACTCAACTCTCCCCCTCCTACCTCAAATCCAAGATTTTACCCTCCTCCTGCCAAGGAAAGGACTCCTGAGAGACCAGAAATTGTCTGGACCAAGACAGTGAAGGAAGTGACTATGTAGACTCTTGGGGTCACCCTCTGCCAGGGCTGGAGGTGCACAGCTGGGAGGGAAGGAAAGGCCCTGGGAGTGGGTTCTTACCTGCTTGGGTGTGAATCCAGGCCACAGCTTTCCTTTCTAGAAGCTCCCACTCCATCTTCTTGTCTTTACCATGGGTGTGCAGCCAGACCACAGCCAGGACAGTGGCCCAGCCTGAGAGGTCCACATGCTGTACAATAGACAGAGACTTCCCTGAAGACTCTGAGTTGGGGCAGGAAGTCCCTTAAGGACATGCAAAGAGTGCCATGCCCTCCTTACTGGCAAGTCCCAAATTGCTGCTACATGGTATTATTTGGTCTCCCTCTAACTCTATCACTTGCAAGGCACAATGATAGGCCATGTACCCCAAGGCAACAGTCTACTGAGTCTTAGGGTAGAAAGGTCATAAGCTTTAAATCCAGAGCTGTGTAGAGACCCCTAATACCCATGCAAGGACTACCCAGTTGTGAAAGAGAAACACATGCATGGCGATTTTATAAAATGTCTTCATGGGTTTTTTTTTGTTCCCACATATTTATTGGTGTATTATAGTTGTACATAATGGTGGGATTTCTTGTTACATATTTTGTACATGCACATGATATAACGATATAAGTTGGCCAACATCATTCCCCATGTTTTAAAATTTTAATCCTCATTCTTACTCTCCACTAAACAAAGGTATGAGGAATAATCAATAACCAAATTTTTTTTTTGGGGGGGGGTTACCAGGGATTGAACTCAGAGGCACTTGGGCACTGAACCACATCCCTAACCCTATTTTGTATTTTATTAGAGACAGGGTCTCACTGAGTTGCTTAGCGCCTAGCTAAATTGCTGAGGCTGGCTTTGAACTCACAATCCTCCTGCCTCTGCCTCCAGAACCGCTGGGATTATAGGCATGCACCACCACACCCAGTCCTACATTTTTAAAGACAAAAAATGCTTCATACAGAAGTGAAATAAGTGCCCAAAGTTAGTATTCCAGCAAATAATTGAGGTGCGACGGATTCTGAATAGTCTAATTGATCATACTCCTTAAAAGATAATCTCATCCATAGATCAGAAGACTGTCACCCATGAGTTTCACCAACTGTTCATGAAAACTTCAGGTTATAGAGTCAGTGGATAAAGGGAAATTTCTCATATATATCATGAGCTTTAAAATTTGTAAAAAGCTACCATGTCCTCTTTGAATAGTCTTAATTTTATCAAAATTTTAGTTCCTTCAATTCTTCCTGAAAAGGAAGATCATGTAAAAGCATCAGGAACTCCCATGCTGTTTTCCTGGTTTAAAAACAAAGGTCACAATTATTTTTGAAAAACAACTGGAGGAGAAAATTCGTATGAATTCTCTGACCTCAGTTCAACAGTACTGTGGCAGTTCAGGAAATCTTCTTGCCTCCTCTCTTCCTGTTTCCAATATGCTGATGTTGTTTGTAATATGCAATGACTTTTGAGGCAGATTTCTCCCACTTTCAACAGTGGCATTGAGAATTTAAAACCAAAAGCTATTCTTTAGTTGTATTATTACTATATTTTCTGTTTGCAGTAGTGGTGGTCGCATTGTTTCATGAAAAAACTGCAATTCCTTGTTTAGTGGACTTTAGGAATCCCCAAACTCTTGACTAACACTTTAGTTCTCTTTTCTGTCATCCTAACACTTTAGTTCTCTTTTCTGTCATCCATGAGTAGGAAAATCTGATCTATATCCTCATCAAAAATCTTCACAGAAGATATATAAAAGATATATAAAAATTCAGTTTCATGGTTTACAAATATATTCCATTTAAAAAATCAATTCATAATTAACTGTTCTGTCCTTTACTCTTGGTCCAGATATTCATCATTACAAAACATTCAGATTCCTTCCTGAAATATATATCTACCAGGTCTCTGACGCACTTGATTTGTTGGCTTTGTTGCCATGTCAAAAAGGAAACGTAAACCTGACATGTCTTGTGCTCCTTGAACTTCATCATCCCTGCTCCAACTTCTGAGTATTTAAAAATCATTCTTGTATTTTAGAAATAAAATCCAGACACAGAATAAATTTTAAATTGTCCAGTAGCTATACCTTAAAAAATAAAATGCAAATAGGCAGAATTTTATTATTATTTTACTTTATTTTGTTTTTTGGTGCCAGGGATTGAATCCAGGACCTCAATATGCTAAGCATGTGTTCTACTAGTTAGCTCTGACTTCAGCTAGTATCTATGTAAGCCAATACACTATAAAAAATCATTATTTTAACTTGAAATCAACATAAAATAATTTTGATAGTACATTGTACATTGTTTATTTTTTACCTGAAGTCAGTATATATTTCACAACATAGAACACCTCCATTCAATTAAAATTTTTATTTTAACCTTAGCCACAATTCCAAGGCTCAATAGCCACAGGTGACTCATGGATGTTGCATGTTCAGATCATAGAAAATCTGAAGGTTAGTTCATTGTTTTCCTAAGTTTGAAAGTTTGAAATGGGATTTGTCTTTTATGTTTTTGACAGCCATCATATTTTATCAATTTCTCTAGGAGTAGAAGTTTTAGCAAGTTACCTTAACTGAATGTACATTCTGAATATATTTTATCTCTGTCAGTATATTGCAATTATTAAAATAACTAGGTGGCTCCCATTTGTACTCACCTATCCTGACTTTGATGAACATTTTTATGTATGAACCACATTTTTTACTATTAATAGTGGGGTTATTATTAGTGGTTCTGAGGACAGATAGTCATAGCATTTAATGCAGCTTTGCCATTCACTGGCTCAGACACATATTTATACTCCTGTAAGCTTCAGCTTCTTTATCTACAAACAACAATGTGAATAGGACCCACCTTATTTAATTGAAGTGAGGAGTAAATGTGGTCATGAATCTTAAGTTAGCACAATTCCTGGTACAGAAGACAACCTGAGTTTTAACTTTACATTTAAGATGTCTGGAAGGGAATATGATTTTAAGTCCAAAGGATTGTTACTTTCTCCTTGTATTCCATCAACCTTCACATGAACTCCTACTAGCTGGCCCATAAATTCCTTGTTATTTCTATTCTAAAATAACCAGAAAAACTTTCAACCTTGACTTATTAGAAGTTAACTATGTCTGTGGATCCCTCTGTGTTCTGCTTTCTCAGGTGGATCCTGATCTACCCTTTTATGGTTTGGATCTGTAATGTACCCCAAAGATGTCAAAACTTGTTCTTCAATGCAACAATGCACTGATGGAGCTTTTAGGAAATGATTAGATAATGAGGGTTCTGACCTCATCAGTATATTAATTCATTTGGTAGATTAATGATTTGAGTGGATTATTGGGAGAAGGCAGGGCATTTTTGGAAGAAGTGGGACATTGAGGACATGCTCTGAATTCTATATCTTGTCCCTTGCCACCCTACTTCCTCTGCTCTTTCTCTGTTTCCATGCTGCCATGAACTGAGCAACTTGACTCCACCAAGCACTTCCTCCATGCTATTCTGCCTCACCTCACGCCTAAAGCAATGGAGCCAGCTGACCATGGACTAAAAACTCTGAGCCAAATATTTCCTCCTTTAAGTTGCTTTTGTCAGGTATTTTGGTTACAGTCACGAAACAATGACCAATACACACCCCCACTCCTCATTACAAACTTTACTTCCTTAAAAGTATACCTACTCCATTGTTTTCTTTGAATCTTACCTGGGCAGGGTGTGCAGCAAGCAGGTCTTCCAAACTCACACCTAGGATCTTAGTCAGATCTTCATTCAGATCCCAGGAACCATTTGCTTTTTGGAGGTCAATCAGCTGCATAAGTTTAGTGCCTCCAATCACTTTGAGGGAAAAATAGAAAAAAAGGAATGAGAGGAAACCACTGAGCCCCTGAACTCTGAGCACACCTGAGATAAGCTGCAGGATTCAGAGACAGGCTGCCACCAGTCTGCTCCAGAGAGAATGGTCAGACAGTACCCAGGTCTATCTTCAAACCCAAATTGTAAAAGGATGACTAGGGAAATGGGGGCCCAAACAGGGTGAAAGCAGAGTTCTGCTGTTTCCAGACAGAACTCTGTTGCCTGCAGACAACATATGCAGGTAGAGAGGGGGGAAAAGGCTGTGTTTATTTAGAAATCATCCCATTAGTCGACATCATAGACTATAAAGTCTACATGGTAGATGAGAGAAGTGAAATAAGGCCACCTCACCTTTATGAGAACTTTTTGACTTGGTCCTGCTGTTGTTGGAAGAACACGGGTTTCCCATCATAGAGACAGAACCTCTGAGAGATGAGTATGTACTCCCCAAGCTCTGAGTATGTAATAGAGGTGCGCCTGATCCTATGTGTGACAAACAGTGGTGAGAAAATGTCCCTGGAAAGATGCTCACTTACACTGTGGACCACGGTGATTTATAGGCCTATGGGGACGATATGTCATTCTCCTGGTATGTCATGGTAGCAACGAAAGCTGAATCCCATGTAACCACAGATAAAAACAATCACTATAGCCTGAGTTCTGTTGAAAAGCTGAAAAATACCGATGTACACAATGAGTTGCCCTTGCTGTCTGCAGCAGGCCAAAATAATATAAAGTCTAAGGATTATTTGAGACACACACTTTCCCATCCATATCAGTCAGCTTCAGTTTCTACCCTAACTGTGTCATTCTTCTCCCATGAGCTCACCACTGAACACAACACACCCTTACACTCTCAGATCTCTATTTTCTATTATGCCCTCTCTAACCCCTGACACAGGCTAAACAATCTTACCTACCTCTTTACTTTCATTTCAAGAGGCTCCTTCCAACTAAGTCTTAAATGAAGACTCATGAATCCTCCCAAAACATTCTTTTCCCTCCATCTCTCTCACTTGGCTGTTGTTCAATGTACTGCAGTCCAACCATCCAGGTTTGGCAACCTATTCAGTCCAGATCAATATTCCTCCACCCTCACATGGTACCTCCCAAATGTCCTTATTACTGTCAGCTCCCAAACTCTTGGTCATCTCCCATCATCCACTAAGGAAACTGAAAACCAGACCATAGACTTCACTCTATTCCTAGGTCGGCCATCCTCTTGAGAGATTTCAGCTCCCATGGAGACAGCCAGGTTTTTAACCTTCTCAATTTAATTACTTGGGTTCTATTCTTCTTCGGTCTCACTCTCCCAAATCATGATGGTTTTGTTATCACAAAGAATTGTTTCACTTATAAAAAATAAATTGAAAAAAAATCTTACTTTTAAATATAAATATCCAAGTTTTCCTGTTTTATCTGAATTTTCACTTCCTCTAGATCACTTAAGTCTTTAAACTTTAATCACTTAAGTCTTTAATATATCTTTCTATATATTGCTTTCCTATATATCAACCTCCTTCCATCTTCATTGTGTACTCAATCTACATCTCAATTTTAATTTTTGCCAACTGCTTATCAACATCTACAAATCCACATTGGTAATTTCCTTTCATTACTCCCAATCTAGCAAAACCCCCAAACTGCAATGAGCCCAACATTTTTATGCCAAAGTTGCTGAAAAGATAAACATAAGCTAAGGGTTTTTTTTTTTTTTTTGGCAGTGTGGTCCCACAAAATAAGTCAAGGTGCCAAACTTAACTGGACCCTCAACCCTCCTTCACAGATGTTTCTATTTCTCTCTGGACAATCCATTTTCCAACTATTCCCAGTGACTCCTTTAAATCTTTGCCTTTTCTTTGAGTCCTGACTTCCACCACTTCCAGGCCCACATCATTCCAAATGTCAGCCATTTGGATAATCATTAGCTACCTCATTATCAAGAACATAAATCAGCTTCACATTTAAACTATTTGTTAAATGATTATGTGCACCTTGTACACGTTACTATCCTTTTCATATTAAATCTCTCTGCCAAGAGATTATATTCTACTTCAGTAAGACAAAATTTTAACACTAGGCAGAAATCCTAGAGGTGGAGGGCAAGCTGGGTTTGTGGCTCAGTGGCAGAGTGCTTGCCTGGCATGTGTGAGACACTGGGTTCAGTCCCCAGCACCACATAAGAATAAACAAATAAAATAAAGTTATTGTGTCTATCTACTACTAAATGTGTATATAATTTTTTTTAAAAAAGAGAAAACAATGTTTTTAAAAATATTTCACAACAATTTCCTTAAAATAGTGTGTGCAGCTATCCATGAGACTTATGCATGGAATAGAACTCACCACATAAAAACCTTGGGCTCATAAAGGCTTTGTACAGAACTGGCCTTGGAATCTCCCTGTAAACCCGGGGCCCCTGAACTGGCTTCTTGAGTTCCTTGTTTATGGCAATGAATGCTGTGAAGGAGCTGATGACTCCAGATTCAATGCTAATCTTCAACACGTCTTTTTTGTCCATTGCTGGGGTCTGTGTGAGGCCAAGGTCTTTGGTCTGGATGAAGGATTTGGCAGCAAGACGGTGAATAGTGAGGCTGAAAGGAAAAAAAAAAAAAAGAAATTTCCAGAGAGGTGGGGAAAAACACCCACATTCTAGCTAATAGGTGCTTTTAAAATTTAGAGATAGCAGAGGAAAGAAAAATTAGAGAAGGAAAGAATAGAAACAGAGTGGCACACAAAGGAAGAATGAATACAAGGACACATTTTAAGCCACAGTCCAAAGAAGCAAGCAGTAAGAAAGGAGAAAAAAAAAAAAGAAGGAAGAATAAGAATAGAAGGAACAAGATGAAAAGGCAAGGAAGTGAAGGGGAGCAAAAGGTCAGAAAAACAAGAAAGAGAAGGGAAAACAATTCTCACTCAGCATCTGGCTTGGGTTTGAGAGAAAATGTCAGTTTATCCTCAAATCTTTTGCCCTGGAGCGTGTACTTGAGGCCTACTTCTCCTGTAGCCTCTGCAGCCTACAAATTGGAGAAGAACAAAAGTGATAAAAAGAAAAGATCACAGAGAAAGTGATCAGAACTGGGGCAACTCCCCAGCTCAGCACATTATCATTTCTCAGTAGTGATTAGGTATCCCAGGAAACCAGAGACCTGAAATGATGGGGGAAATAGAGAGCTGATTCTACCTGGCATTTACAACCTCTTACTAAAATCCTAATACACCAACCAGCTTCAACGAATCTGTCAGGGCAGTAGCTACTCTGAACAGAGAAACAAATAAGAACTGGGACTCACTGGCATTTTTCCAGTGAGTCGGGCATAGAGGATCAACCTCTGACCCCTAAAGATGACAGTTGGCTCTGGAGAAAGCAAGTTAGCAGACACACCAGGAGGCAAATTCCAGCTCAAGGAGATGTCTTCTACTGCAGGCTGAAGAGAGTGCTTCAGAGACCTAAGAACCTGATGGAGGAAAGGAAATACAATAAGCATAAATAAAAAAAGGATGAAGATAATTATAATTAACTCGACATTTATCATGTATCAGTTGCTATATGGTACAATACAAGTTATGTCTAATCTTTAACCCTATCTTGGGGATATGGGTATTATTTATCTTGCTTTCCATACAGGAAGCTAAGGTTGAGAGATTTAATAGCATAAATGTGAATGAAGGATAGGCTAGGGAAAGTTGATCCATGGAGAATGGAACTAGAGAAGGCATGGCAGTAACTGGGAAAGAGGAACTTAGAAACAGAACCAGAGATATCTTTTCCTTGTGCACACTGATAATGGAATACCAATTTGACACTAAAAGAGGTCCTGAAGCATAGGCCTGGAGTCTCAAACATGATAGCCAAAGCTCTTAGTTTCTGTTTGGGCACTTAAATACAAGACCTAAAGTTCTTTCAGGGAGGTTTTTTTTTTTTTTTCTTTTCTTTTCTTTTTGGTGGTGTTGGGATCAAACCCAGGGCTTCATGCATGCCAGGCAAACACTCTACCACTGAGCAATACCCCCAGCCCAAGCTCTTTCAGAATCTTATCTCTGGACTTCCAGATATGAGGGTCAGATGCCATTCTCCAAAGTAAAAACATTTGATGTAAGACCCAATCAGCCCCTCTGAAAATATAATTCATACCTTGGGTATTTGGAAAAATGCATGTTAGAGGCAAGCTAGGCTCTTAACCCTTGCAGCAGTGTCCCCCACCCTGCTGCATACTTGGTCTGGATTGACCACTTCTGGACACATGGCTTGCCCCTCACCTTGGGCTGCATCCTGTCCTTGCCTGTGATAAACTCAGAAGTGCCCCCTGACACCCGGGCAATGCTTTTTATTAAGCTGGTGGAGGCACCTTCTCCAATGCCAAATGAGAAACATCTGTAAGTGTAAATGAATGGAGGTTAGACACAGGAACTTATAAAATTTATACATAATGGTGAAAACTACATGATAAGATAGTCTACTTCATTGAGAAAAGTTGTAATAGCCATTTATTGAGAATATTGTATATTTTGGAACCTTAATAAATTCCTGAAATTAATAGTATGATTGAATCATCTTGAGTCTCCTCAGAGGCAAGGTTGTGTTTCATTTCACACATAAAGAACAAGGACCCTGAGAATTTAGGAAATCTGTGCAGGATCACATCTTTTACAAATGGTAGACATGGCACTAGAACACTGCTATGACTAACTACAAGAGTCTCCTAGCAAACCAAGGAAAAGCTAGAAACTGTCATCAGCGTCTGACTGATACTGCTGCATCATGAAGTTGCTCCTGCAAGGTTTAGGGCATGGAACAGTGCCTCCTACTCTTAAGGTAAAAGTTCTCATCCTGTTGTGGCCCATGTGCACTGATGGAGATTTTTAACCTCAATTTGGGTTCCAAAATAAAATTGTACATAAACAGACAATGCCTTAGTAATACTATGATAAGCCTTAAAATGGCAGAAATGAAAGTTTTCATCATAAATTCATACACTAGAATGCAGGCTTATGTGTCCATTTTGACATGTGTTTGTGTGACTCATCACCCTCAAGTGACATCAGTGTTAGGATTAATGCTCTTAACTTGTGAGGATAGGACCAGATATGTAATTGCAGTGATTTAACTGGAGTCATTCTCCCAAAAGATCACATCCTGCTAGTCTCTTTATGATCTCATCTTTAAATTTCCATTATGATTTTTAAACTATAGTCCATATTATACAATGCATATATGCATAATTTTAAATGTTTTTTATTTATAAAAACTAAACTGAAAAATGCCTAGAACTCACTAACATGATTCATGTCAATGATAATAAAAATAACAAAAATGTATATCGTAAAAAAAAAAATGTATATCGTACATATTTTGTGTCGAGGACAATTCCTAGATGTTTTACATAGTTTTATTCTTTTAAGCCTCAGAATAAACCTACAAGGTAAGTTCTACTATAAGTATCACCATTTCAGGTAAAGAAACCATTGCTTAGAGATTAATTGATTTTTCCAAATATCTAGCAAGAAGAAAAACTAGAACTTAAACATATGAATTATTTTTATGACTTCATAGCAATTGAATGTGTGAATCAAAACTTCCCCTGTCTTGATCTCAGCAATGCTGGACTGAGTTGTTTCTGGTCAGTGAGAAGCTGTGCACAATATTTTTAATAATTTATTTGAAAGCAGTAAAGATGATTGAGTCAACTGTGTACAAAGACTTTAAGAAGCTAAGTGCCAAATCCTGGAAGAGGAAGGAAGCCAAGAGCTTCGAGCCTGGTGCCAGATGTCCATTTACCCTTTGAGGAAAGTGTCAAGTACAAAATGAATGGCCAAAGTGAGAAGGAAAAGCAGCGACTGAGGTCTCCAACAGGGTAGTGTCTCTGAAAACCTCTCAGCTGTTTGGACAGAACCCTAGGGTACTACGCTCAAGACATAGAGGAGAATTAGAAATAGACTGGCCATCACCATGGCTGAAGTTAATTAGATCCTAATCATATCAAGATTGTCTGATTCTAGTGTACACATCCATCAGAGCAGAGTAAGACCTGCAGGAGGCAGAATATAATTTAGAGGTCTAAAGAATTTCTAAGAACATTCATATAAAATATCTGATAGCTAAACGAATATAGAAAATCTGAGAATATTAAGCAATGAATAACACAGCTTAAAAAGAAAATGAGCATATTAATTAGGAAGTATGCTCAAAAACTTGCAAATGAAAAATAACAAGTCCAAATTCAGAATTTAACTACAGATATACTTACATTTATAGTTTTGAAAACTTGACTTAGAAACAAACAAGAAGCCTCATAATTAAGTATTTTAAATGAAAGAAAATGATGGAAACAGGAACAAATGAAAATGAAATAAAAATTTGTACAAATAGAGAGGATGAACAAAACAAAAAATAGTGGTCTTTAGAAGATCATGAAAATTGATAAACTTCTATGTGAAGAAAATAGAAGGTACAAATGACTAACATCAGAATTGAAAAGGTAGTAGTATCACTATAGACATCATGACATTAAGTGACACTTTAAGGTGATATCTGTAAAATGTTATTGCAAAGAAATTTTTTAAAATATTCAAATTTTTATAAAAATAAGAACATACAAAAACATAAATTATTTAAAAAATAATTTCCCATACTTTTCCAGTTCCAGAGAGTCCACTATAACTTCTAGCAAATACTTAAGAAGAAATCTTCCACAGAATAGGGAAAAAGGCAATTTTTGCACTCCAAATCTACAGTACACCATTTGAATTAATATCTCAATGAGGCACAGTCATTATATAAAAGTTAATGTAAGAAAAATTAATTTCGTTAGTGAAATTAAATATCTGTTCAAGAAAAATATGAAAAAATACTACTTAAAACAATATCAAACACCTAAAGAAAATGAACTAATAAAAAATACATGAAGGTCTCTATGCAGAGAATTATAAAATATTACAGAGAGATTTTGAATGTGTTGTTAGATTAAGGAAATAAATAAATTCACTCATTTTGTGGAAAATTAAGTTTCTCACCTGAACGAAAGAAGATATCAACATAGAATTTGAGATAAAAAGAAAGAATGCTATGTTATTGCATTGGAAATTTGGACATCAGTAAAATTTAAGATTTTTTAAAAAAATATTTGCTAGTTCTGTCCCCTGAAATACCTAGAATCAGTATCGGCCAATAGTCAGAAGCATAGGTAGCACTCAATGCTGGTTTCTACCTATGATTCCAACTAAATGGAACAGGGCTTCTTGGGAAACGCTTGAGTGCAGGCCGGGGAAGGGCACATTCTGGGTTGAAAACAAGAAAATATTCAAATACCTAAGAAACACGTGGAAAAGATATGGGGGCACATAAAAGGGGCTCCCATTGATCAGATCTGGAAATATTGAGAATCTAAAAAGATGATGATAGTTACGCCACCTAATACATTAAAAAATAGTGGAAGAATTCAAGAATACATATTGATAGAACAAAAAGAAGGAAGGGAAGAGAGGAAAGAGAGAAAAGGCTCTTCTTTACAGAAGGATGGCCGCTAGTGAATGTGGAAAACTTGATACTTTAAAAGTCACCATTGTGGGCTGAGGATGTAGCTGTGTGGCAGAGCAGCTGCTTTGCATGTGTAGGGCTCTGGATTCAATCCAATCACTGCTTTGAAAAAAAAAATCAAACACACAAAAAAAGAATAGCATTGCACTACCAGAGATAGTAATAACATAATTTTTAAAGTAACAAATTTGAGTAAATGTTGTGGAAAGCAACATGTTTACCAAATTTAAAATTTATATGTCACAAAGCACCCTGTATGTAACTAAGTTGTCAAAGGTAATATCACCAGGCCTAATGTTACACTTTTGCAATATTTCTACCCAAAATGCTTAGTATTAATTTAAACATGAATTAAAACGGTCAAACAAATACAAACCGAGATTCTACTAAATATCTGTCTAGTTCTCTTTGAACTATCAATCCTATAAAAGTAATGAAAAACTGAATTATTCCAGTAAAAAAAGACAAAAGAGTCAAAACAACTAAATAAAATATTTCTTCTTGGATTTGTTTCTACAACAGGAACAAAACTCAAAATCAAATTATTAGAAAACTGAGAAACATGGCCTATATGGAATATGATATTATCTCAATACTACATGTTCTAAATTAAATAGTTCTATAGTGACCATTTAGCCAGAATGTCCTTTTTGGGGGGAGGATGAGTGCATAAACATACAGTTATCCTCCTGTGTCTATAGATTTTCTGTCTACAGATTCAATCAACAGAAGATTAAAAATAAATTTTTATTTTGTCTATACTGAACAGGTATAGACCACTTTTTCTGTTATTTCCTAAATGATAAAGTATAGCAACAATTTACCTAGCATTTGCATTGTAGTAGGTATTATGAGTAATCTAGAGATGGTTAAAAGTATATGGGAGACTGTAAGTATGTTATATACAACTACTATGCCAAGTATGTCAGAGGTGAACATCTTCTGATTTTGGTAGTTTAGGATTGTTGTGGAACCAATGTTGCACAGAGACTGAGGGACAAATGTACCTTGTAAATAGATGGAAAATTCAGCATAGTAAATACTAAATCCTCCAAAAATTGATTTTAGGGGGCAGGCAAGATGGTGGAATGAGATGGACATGATTACCCTAGGGGGCAGGCAAGATGGTGGAATGAGATGGACATGATTACCCTAGGTACATGTATGAGTRCACATATTGTGTGATGTTGAATCGTGTACAACCAGAAAAATGTAAAGTTGTGCTGCAATTATGCACAATGGATCAAAATGCATTATGATGTCATATGTGCCTAATTAAAATAAACTAATTAATTAAAAAATTGATTTTAAAAAGTCAGTATAATTCTAATCAGTATCCTACTAGATATTTTTTGGTTAAAAACTGACAAGGTAATACTACAATTACAATATTAATACAGGGTCCTAAATATAACTAAGTGAACCTTAAAAATGAACAAAGTAGAGGACTTATTGAAAAATCAACATTAAACATAAAGTCACATTAATTTAAATGGTGTAATATTGGCACACATCCAAATAGACAGACCAATCGAGGGGTGCAGGAAATCTAGAATCAAGCCACACAGGTACAGGCACATACTTGTGAAAACAGGGCATGCCCATCAGTGAGGGAAATGCAAAATTTTCAATAAATGAGAAAAAATTGATGTTTACATGATAAAAATAAAACATGATAGGCTAATACACATGTTTCACAAACATAATTCACAAGTATGTTCTATATCTAAATAGAAAAGACAAAATGACAAAATATAAAAACAACAAAAGAAAATATCTTCATTATGTTGGATAGGAAAGTACTTCAAATAAAACATACACACACACACAAATACATCTAAAAAACACTAATCATAAAGAAAAATAACAAAAATTGAATTATAATAAGAATAACCATTACTCAAAAGATAAAATTTTGAGGGTAAAAAGGCAAGCTATATAGTGAGAAAATATATTCTTAGAACATATAGTCAGCAATGTGCTTACACTCAGATTATAAAGTAAACTATAGATAAATCATATAATATAAAATTTTAAAAAATAGGAAAGTAAATTGAATCTCTGTCACAAAATGAGACAACTGAATGGCCAATACAGATGAAATTACATATGATGTTGAGCCACTGAGAAACTATAAGTTAAAACTATAATGAGATATCACTTTACATACACAATAAATTTTGGATAGAAAATGAAGCAACTGAAAACCTTCTATAAAGACATTGTGAATTAAATGACTCTAGCCACTTGAAAAACTGTCTGGAATTTCCCTCAAATTCTGCAACTCTGTCTACTGAAAGAAATATATATGTATATAAATGTCAATACCCACTCCTCCCTCCACATCCATGGGGGATTGGTTCCAAAATCCCATGTGGAAACAACCTCCAGATCTGATACTCAAGTCCCTTGTGTAAAGTGGTATAGTATTTTCATATGACCTACACATATCTTCCTGTATAATTTAAATCATCTTTAGATTACTTATAATACCTAATACAATATAAATATTACATAAAAATTTGAATCCACAGATATGGAACTTGTAGATGTGGGGGGTTAACTATAAAGATGTGGGTGAACAAAAGGTAAATACAAGGATGAAAAAATGTTCATAGCAGCATTATTTTTAACAACAAAGCCAAAGTCCATCAGCATTTGAATCAAGAGAAACTATATTATGGTTATTCCATGGAATAATATTCACTAATCAAAATTTACCATGGCTACATGCAACATATGTTTGCATCTCAACACACTGTAGAAAACAAGAAGAAAAACAATATATATAGACAGAATAACCTATTGTATAACTCACTTATTTTAAACTGAAAACAAGGACAGACAACCCATTGAGTTATAAGTCAGAAGAACAAGTGGATTGGGAGTGAGAACAGGATATGAGTGAAGGGTAAAGAGGAAGAAGTTTGATAACATTCTAGCTCTAGACCTATGTGGGGTCACTTTGTGCTCATTGTGATAGTTCATCAAGCTAAATCACAGTAATTCATGTAGTTTCCTGTTTAACTTTGTCAAAGACGTTTGTAATAAAGAAAAACACACTAATGAAACCTTTCTTCTATTGTGGCTTAGAAAAATAAAGGACAAAGAGTTTTCTGTGTTGTTGGTGTTATTTGGAAAACTACCATTTGTTTCTGTGAAGAAAAATACATTTTCAACTGGTAAGAATAAAATTTTAGAATGGGTCATTCTTCTGAAAACATTGTCAGCAGTGGTATCATGAGGCTGTAGGTTTCATGTGGCACTACTGGAGTATGGTCACCCCAGCAGAAATCACTTTCAGTTCGTACCTGTGTTTATTGCCGTTAGACTGAACTTCTTTAATTACACTAAATGTGTCAGAAACTTCTCCATCTGTGAAGATAAAAAGCTGTACAAAGAAAGAAAAGACCATCAATCCTCAATCTCATTGCAAGGTATCAGGATTTGCCCTTGAAAACCCCAATTGTTTCATTCCAGAGACTCCAAGGGCTCTTCAAACAGGCGTGACTCTTCCATGTTCCACTGTCACTGGGACCCTGTGCTCTCAGGATTGCTGGAAACACTGGGGATTTGGGGCTCCTCCACACACTGACTTTGTCAGAGGCTTTGGGGTATTCCACAGAGGCAGTTCCACTGTCCATCCAATTGAGTGAAGGGATAAGAAAAATACCACTTCTCTTTACTTCTCTTTATTATAAAATAGAGTCTTCAAAATACACACCATATTTTTAAATTCCTGCAGTAAAGCTCAAGGACATTAATTCTTTCATTTTCTCTGTGTCCTTCTGTTAAGTTGGTTCCAATTCCTACCTGTAGGGGGTGACCAGGGATGGAGGGCTTCCTGTAAATGTTCTGAAGTGGTGCCAAGATTTCAGTGCCCCCTAGATCTGCTCTCATGAGCTTGACTCTGTTCACTGCTTCTTCCATTGTTTGCTGAGTGTACTTCACACTCTCCCTGAGAGAAACAAAAGCATCCAGTTGCATGGTGGCAGCTTCATATTGCCTGCTGCTGAGAAACCCCATCAAACAGCAATCCTTCCCAGCCTCTCAGGAGGCTGAGACAGGATTGTGAGTTCAAAGCCAGCCTCAGCAAAAAGTGAGGCACTAAACAACTCAGTAAGACCCTATCTCTAAATAAAATACAAAAAAAAAAAAAAAATAGGGCTGGGGATGTGGCTCAGTGGTGGAATGCCCCTGCTGAGTTCAATCCCTGGTAACCCCCCTACCAAAAAAAAAAAAAAAGAGCAATCCCACCCAAATCCCCCAAACTCAGGTCGACCCTTCAGTAATCCCACAGTGGTACACTTCATGCTTTGAATATAGACTTTGCTGCTCTGCCACTGAAGCTTATTTTAAAATGGACATGTTTTCTTTTCCTCTCCTCCCTCTCCCATTCCCTAACCTAGGGGTGGGGGATGGGCTATCTTTTTTCCAGTCTTAGGCTGATAGTTATCACACCTGCTTTAGGAACCAAGTAACTCAGACTTCAGGAGGGGCTCCAGAGATCTAAGAAATGGCTATCTCCCAAATTAACAAGTGAATCACAACCTCCCACAGGCAACACCAAAACTGTTCTTATAAAACACCTAGAACTGTTCTTACAAAACCTTCCGTTCTCCCTGATGGGCAGAATCACACCTTGTGGAACAGGAGTCCCTTAAACTTTTTCCTTTTCTCAAAACAATGTCCTCATTATCAAATTGGCATCAGACACAAGAAATGAGCTTTTAGTAACAGTAATCCCTTTACAATAGAGTTCCTCCCTTTAAAGTATTTATTTTCTGGCCTTTTCAGAGACTTACGGAAAAAATTCCTTATAGGAAGATCCAAATTGATAGATGTTGAAATAACAGCCTATAGGCAAACTCTTCAGCAGCAGAATCAGTGTTTCCTGAAGGGGAGAGAGGATAAGGATAGAGTGAGAGGACCTTCTCAGACCCTGTGGAGCCAACTCTTAGGGCTGTAGCCTGTCACCTTGGTTCCATGCCACTTTACCTTCCAAGGCCTCTGAGTGGTCATACCAGCTGCTGCTCAGGTGGAGAACAGACCTACACCTCCAAATGCACCCCACTTTAACCCCTCAGCTTCACCCTCACTTGTCTACCTGACTCAGAAGAAGAAACTGGATTTACCTGGGCTGCCTCTATGCGTGACTGAGACCCATCCTGGTTATTCATGGGACACTGCATACTTCCTGAGCAGTCCATAAGGAAGACAAATTCTCCACAGGTCACAGATGCCTCATCTTCAGGAATGTTTGGATAGAAACTCACCATGACAGAAGGATCTCCCATTAAACTATCTATAAAAAAAAAAAAGATAAAGATCCTGGGGGGTGGGGGAAACAAGAGCCCAAGAATTTTAAAATTCCCAGGAAATAATTGTAGTGTACACAATAGGGGACAGGAAAAACTGAAATATAAACAACACTGTGCTTGATCCTTATTCACAATCTTCTTACAAAGGGCTGGAGGTGAGTTCTAAACATATAAAAGATATAGAAATAGATCACATATCAAAGAGAAGAGAGAGGGTAGAGGTTAGTAGGCGCAAACAATAATTATAATAGTGCATTAGTGTGAAGTACTCATTCATGCTCCCCACAAGAAAAGGAAGCTGTGGGATTAGAAAAATCTCTGGTTAACTAAAATAGCTTCATACAAACAACGGTGTGAGGAGACATGGGGAGACCACCCTTTATGGATAAAATGTCAAAGCCATTGCTGAGATTTCATTTTGAGATGTGAATGAAAATTGATACTGGAGTTGAAACATCCATTACCGAGATGGAAATGAAATGAGAATGGCTGGGTTATATTGACTCCATTTTTAAAGTTCAGAGAGTATAAGAGGATATGGAATTATATACCATTATCCTATTTTTGTAAACTGATTCCAGAATGGTAGAATTAAAATCTTAGTAGCCCTGAGATTCAGTATGACCATGAGACCTATTTCAGTTTAATCTTTTATCTATGGGGTACTCTACTAATYAAACAGGCTACTTAATATAGTAGATGTCACCCAAAAAACTTTTGATAGAAGAGGAGTTGAAAAAATGATGTTTACATAACCTGGACATCTGGATATATAATGCAGCACTGTTTTGATAGGTGAAGGTAGATTCCTTTCTGAAATGAGAGACACCTGGGTATTATGGGGTTGGCACTGCTCTGAGAAGTCAGAAAGGTTGAATGAGAACGATGGGAGTTAGTACCTATGAACTGTTCAGAACACCGCCAGATACATGGTGAGCACTGCGTGTATATTGTCTACTATAATTCTTTCAGCCTCCTACAAATTATCTTTAGCTTCACCAATGCTGCTTCCTTGATTTCAAACAAGGTATTTCAAACCTTAGTTCTATCACTTGTTATCTCCAATTTCCTCATCTGAAAATCATGGTAATAAGACCTATTTTATGATTGTTTTATTGGTTAAGCGATACAATACTTTTAAGGAACTTTCTTGATGGCCACATTAACCTCTTAGTAATATTTACATAAAATTAGTTTTAAATATTACAGTCATTTTGTTAAGTATAAATTTTAATTTTAAAATTGCATTCTTAATATAGTTAACAAACCCATTCTAAATTAAAAAAAGAAAAACAATAATGTAGTGTGTTTTCCTCGCATACTGATATGCTTCATGTGGCACAAGTTCTAAAAGTTTTTACTGAGCCAGGCTGCCATTCGAGGTTTTCCTTTTCATCATTGTGTATATATAACATCCAGTCAACTAAACCAAATATATGATCAAGAAGTAGCACCTGCTGCAAGGAATTCATAAGACTGATAAAAACTGCCCCTCATATTATTCTATGACCTGCAGAGTTAGTCAGGAGGAGCAGTTGAGAAAATCTGCATGGGAACAAGGGAATACCTTGGGGGGAAAGAGACAGAAATCTCAATCCTTATCTTTAAGATAAGGTTTAAATAATACTCAGTAAAGGCCAGGTTCCTGCTAGGATATTTCAAGAAGGAGCTCACCAATAGGAAAAGAAACACCAGGTAACTAACTGATAGAGTGTGCAGCTTCGTGGGAGGGAAACTAGTTATAGCAAATATTTTTGAGGTTAGGAGGCCCTGAGTGACTTCAGTATGAAAAGCTGGAAGAAAAGTTGGACAAGTGAGGTCCCACCAAGAGTGCCAATTTGTAAGCTCAAACATGAGGCAACCATGGGAAAGCTTATGGAAGCAATTCCAGGGAACAGTCCTCCTAGAAGTTGTAGTCACAGAGACAAAGGCCTAGCCCCAACCTTGTCACTGTGAATGTGACTGTCCCCGAGAATGCCTCCTTTCCATCCACGAGGAAAAGGTTGCTGAGTGGCAGTATCTCTTCTGTCATGAAAATGGAAGCAGCACAGAAGGCCAAAGAAAGAGACTGACTCAGGTTATTTCACTTTTAGTTATGAAAAAAAAAAAAAGCACATATGTATTTAGGAAGACTTAGAAAAAAAGGAGCAAAAAAAAAAAAAAAAGAAAAAAAACCTCAGTAAGAAACTCTGCTTACTAATTTACAAACCTGAGTCTTATAAAAGGTAAATAAATTAAAGCCATAGATCTATCCACTTAAAATGGCTAAAATGTTAAAATTTTTATTTATATTTATCAAAATTAAAAATAAATAATTGCAGTGATATTATATGTAGCTGTGATCAATTAACCAATGAAGTATTTGTTTAATTTAAAAAGAAATTTAAAAATTCAATTTTGTGTTAATCTAATCACAAACACCACTTGTATATTTCTTGATTTTTAAAATGTTTTTTTCCTAATACGTATGGTATAATATACTGGCAATCTATTGGTAGGGCTTACTTTCATTATACTTCCAATTCCTTAGAGGTCTTTTTTCAAAATTATTTCAATGTGTCAACATACATTATTTTAGTAGCTGCATAATAATTTATCAAGTTGTTGAAAGTATGGTATATTTAGTCCAAGTGAGACATTGTGATTTTTTTACTGATATTTGATATTTTTAACATTATTAATAATATTAAAACATACCTAGTGCATATTTTTTACTTATATTTGCTTCCTTAGGTAATATTCCCCAAACAGGAATTACCACAAAGATCATATATTTTCACCTGTGATATGGTTTGGATGTGACATGTTCCCCCAAAGCAAGGACGTGTAAAGGAGAAAGGACTAGGTCATGGGAGCCTTAACCCAAATATTGAATTAATCCCCTGATGGTAACCAAAGGCAGGTAGAGTGTGGCTGGAGGAGGTGTGCATTGGGGAGTTGTGCTTTTGGAGTAAAAATTTTATATTGGGCAAGTGGAGTCACTCTCTGTTTTCTGATCATCATGTGAGCTGCTTTTCTCTGCCACACTCTTCTGTCATGGTGTTCAGCCTTACCTTGAACCCAGAGAAGTTTGTGGACTGAGACCTCTGAAACCACGAGCCCCCAAATGAACTTTTCCTTTTCTAAAATTGTTCTTGTCAGGTCTTTTAATCACAGCAGCAAACAAGCTGACTATACTAAACCTATATGCCAAATTTATCTCAAAAAGATTAAAAACCAATTATTTTTCAACAATCTATATCACTCCTTTTGAAAAAATAGGCATGACTGGATTTGGAAATCTTTTAGGTTTGAATGGGGAAAATGTCACATATTTGTATTTGCATCTCTTAAAATTGATGATTGTCACAGATATATAATTGGCTGTTTTTTGTTGTGAATTTATCTGTTTATGCCCTTTCCCCAATTCTCTACTAATCTACTTAAACTTGCCTACAAGACAATACCGCAGGATACTCCCAAACCTGACCACTGTGCATGCTGTAGACTCTTTCAGTATTTCAAATTGACGTGTTTACCTGCTACTGGGAAGAGGAAATGGAAGTGAGAATATTTGACAGTGATTCCAAGATAGACAAACACCTCCTAGGAGGTGAGGACAAATGAAGAAAGAATATACCTGGCTTCTTCTCAAGCATCCCTGCCTCCACAGATACTCGGGGGCTGTGCACCTCCCTGTAGTAAATCAGGAGTTCCACGTCCCTGTCAAACTTGTGTCCTTCAGCCAAGGAAACCTGAGTTAGGGACCAGCAAGGGAGTCAGGTTAGAACATCACTCTTTGGTGCCTGGAGCTGAGGTCAGAGTTGAGGGCCACAGGCTTCCTCCACCAGTGAGCATGACCAGGGGCAAAGGGGAGAATCAAGAGAAGACTCAGCACATTAAACCTGGGTGAAGAGGGAGCACAGTGCATCCCCCTCTGGGTTAATAGGGAAAAGTAAGGACCACCTGGGAAGGGCTGGACCAAGTCAGGACCCAAGGAATAGGGTCCTGGCAACAACAGTCCTCTCTTACTGATTACCTGAGCAGAAGTCTTATCATCTGCAAGGAACGCAACAGCACTCAAGGGGCAGTTGGAGTGGACCCTCTGGATGCCATGCTGGGAGCTGATGGTGGCAACCATGCTGAGTGTGTAGGGCAGTTCATCCAAGGGGACTAGAGGAGTTTTTATATCAAGGCAACTGTCCTCAAGCCGTCCTATAAAAAGTGAACTTCATTCTGTTTCCTTTGCCAATACTTTTTAGCACCTCCATAAATATAAAGGGAATTCCCCTATTATGCCACCACTATTACTCAAAGGGGAGAGGTACTTACCAGAAAGATGGTATCTAGGATTTAGGATGGCTGGGAGCACATAGCGCAGGGCCCCATCAGCGTCCAAGGGCAGCTCCTGCACGTACCTCAGGGTAAGCTCCACCTTTGACCCAGGCTGGAGGTTCCCCACATTGCAACAGAAGACATCTCTAGAGTCTGAGTCCTCCTCCAATAAGTAGGCCTCCTGACCCTGGGATATGGCATCCTCATATTTCTGTTGGGCCTAAGGAAAATAGGAGGGATGGGAAAGAAAGGTAACAACAAATGAAAAGACAGGACTGAAGAAAATGAAGACTGTTAGAGAAATTAATGGGTCTTGTCAATTTCATAGCTGGGGTTTGAATGCCTCTAATTGATTTATCCATAAATGATCTCAGGAAATCAGAATTTAGAAGTGCATAGATAGAAAAGCATCCAACTCCAGCATTTTTTGTGAAGGTGCATTTGAATGAGATCTTAAAGAGTGCACATTAATCATTAAGGTAAAAGGAAGGGAGAATACAAAGGACCCATCTCCTGTACCTCCATCTTGTCCTGTAATTCTGCCACAATTTTCTTCCCATCCACCAAGGCCTCGAAGCTATAGACAGCAGAGTCTTCATCCATGGGGAACACAAAGGAGGCCTCCAAAGGGACTTTCTCCTCATTTTCATAGTTTAAGGTTGCAGACACACAAGCCACAAACTCATGGATGGACAAGGTCACAGAGATGCTTTTCAGTGCCACTGGGGATAGATCAGGGTTCAAGGGTTCAACACACTATAATAGAAGGCCTCCTGCAAGCCAAGAATTGAGCTAGGTATCAAAGACACACTGGTACACAAGAGTCAGAAATTAGGCTTACCTGGCTTCTTTTGGAGAGTGATTAGGCCACAGGAGCCCTCCATGCTGACACCGTGTCCTGAGGAAAAGACACATCATGAGCAGAATGACATGTTGGGAGATGTGCATCCAAACATTACTACATTCTGAGCCTCCTTTTGCATAAGAATACATTCAGGAAGTCACATTTTGTGCTAGGAAGAAACATGGAGGGGAGAAGGGGACAAAAATATCCTAGTAGCTAGGCTCCTTTTAAATGCCATCCCCAGATGGGGAGATTGTAAGATGCAATAAGTGCCATCTAAGAAGAAATTCCTAAAAAAGCTAGAGGGTGCTTCAAATACTAATAATAAGTATTCAAAAGTGGGTTTAATACTCCTTTCTTAAACATACGGAATAGGTGTTGTAACCTTAATCCTCCTTGGTATTCTCTTTCTAAAATGAGAACAATCGTACCTTCAAATCACATATGAATTTCCTACACTAGGGCTGGCTCATAGATGGCTTTTTATTTTATTCACATTGCCATATACTATTTTCGTTGGTACTTTATAATTATACATATTGTGGGATTCATTATGTATATTTGTATATAAATATAATTTGATAACTCTCATTTCCCATTACCTTTCCTTCCTTCCCCTCCTCCCTCCTCCTGATCCATTTGCTCTACTAATTTGTTTTAATAATATTATTTTGTGTATTATATATATGCACACATATATTTGATTCATGGTAGTATGTTGATATGTGGCCATACTATAATTTGATAGATTTCATACCTCAGGATATCCCCATGAGTCCCCTCCTCCCTCCCTCTTCACCCCCTTCCTCAACGTTATTAGTCTTTCTAGTATTGTTGTATGGCTTGTTATTTTTTATTTCATTTTTCCTTCTCTCTAGCTTCCACATTTTTAAATTTACTTTATTTGTTCTTTGAGTTATACATGAATCAGAGTTTATTGTGATGTATTTATACAAACATGGATTACATCTTATTCTAGTTAGGTTCCCAGTCTTGTATATGTACATGGTGTGGAGATTTGCTGCAGTATGTTCATGTATGTACATAGGAAAGTCATGTTAGATTCATTCTTATGTCTTTCCTATTCCTATTTCCTCTCCCTTCCCTTCATTCTCCTTTGTCCAATGTACTGAAATTTTCTTCTACCCCTCTTCTCCACCTTGTTATGTGATAGCATGCACATATCAGAGAGAACATACAACCTTTAGTATTTGGGGATTGGCTTATTTCACTTAACATAATAGTTTCCTGATCCATCCATTTACCAGAAAAATGTCATAAAGCCATTCTTTTTTATGGCTGAGGAATACTCCATTGTGTATGTATACCACATTTTCTTTATCTATTCATCTGCTGAAGGTCACCTATGTTGGTTCCATAGCTCAGCTATTGTGAATTTTGCTGCAATAAACATTGATGTGGCTGGGTCACTGTAGCATGCTGATTTTAAGTCCTTTGAAAAAGTATACCTAGTAGTGKTGTAACCAGATCAAATAGTGCTTCCCTTCCTAGTTTTTTGATGAATCTCCATACTGCTTCCAGAGTAGTTGCAATTTGTAGTCCCACCAGCAATGTATGAGTATGTCATTTTTCCCCACATCCTCACCAACATTTGTTGTTGCTTGTATTCTTTATAGTTGCCATTCTGACTGGAATGAGATGAAATCAGTGCAGTTTTAATTTGCATTCCTCTAATTGCTAGAGATGTTGAACATTTGCTGGGGTCGGGGGGTGGGGTGGGTACCATGGACTAAACTCAGGGGGCACTGGACCACTGAGCCACATCCCCAGCCCTACTTTGTATTTTTTTTTAGAGACAGGATCTCACTGAGTTACTTACTGTCTTGCTTTTGCTGAGGCTGGCTTTGAACTCATGATTCTCCTGCCTCAGCTTCCCAAGCTGCTGGGATTATATAGGCATGTGCCACTGCACCTGGCATTTTTTCATATATTTGTTGGCCATTCATATTTCTTCTTCTTTTCAGTTCTTTAGCCAATTTATTAATTGGATTATTTGAGTGATTTTTTTGAGGGGTGTTAATTTTAAGTTCATATATATACTGGAGATTAATGCTCTGAGGTACAGGTGTCAAAGATTTTCTCTTATTCTGTAGGCTCTCTCTTTATACTCTTAATTATTTACTTTACTATGAAGAAGCCTATTAATTTGGTACCAACCCATTTATTGATTCTTGATTTTATTTATTACACTTTAGGAGTCTTATTGAGGAAGCTGGTTCATAAGCCAACATGATGGAGTGTTGGCCCTACATTTTATTCTAGTGTATGCAGGGTTTCTAATCTAATTCCTGGGTATTTGATCCACTTTTAGTTAAGTTTTATACAAGGTGAGTAGCTTCCACATTGAAAGAGAACATTCAACTCTTGACTTTCTGAGTCAGGCTTATTTCACTTAACATGATGCTCTCCCATTCCATCCATTTACCAGCACTGATATAATGATATAATTTTGTTCTTCTCCTTTATAGCTGAATGAAACTCCATTGTGTATGTATACCCCATCTTCTTTAACTTTCATTTGTTGATGGCAGGTTCCATAATTTTGCTTTGTGAGTTGCACTGTTAAAATATTGGTATTCATATATCACTATAATAAGCTGATTTTAGTCTTTTTGGCTAAATACCAAGGATCGAGATAGCAGGGTCATATGGTGGTTCTATTCCAAGTGTTTTGAGGAACGTCTAAACCGCTTTCCAAAATGAATGTACCAATTTGCAGTCCCAATGAACATGTATACCTTTTTATCCACATCTCACCAGTAATGATTATTATTTGTATTCTAATTAGAGTGAGATGAAATATCAGGGTAGTTTTAATTTGCATTCCTTGACAGCTAAGGATGTTGAACACTTTTTTTCATATATTTGTTGAGAATGTATTTTTCTTCTTTTGAGAAATATCTGTTTAGATCTGTTTTCCATTTGTTGATTAGGCTCTTTGGTTTGGTTTGGTTGTTAAGTTTTTTTGAATCCTTCACATATTCTGGACATTAGTTCTCTGTTAGAAGAGCATGTGGTAAAGATTCTGTCCTGCTCTGAAGGCTCTCTTTTCATACTATTAAATGATACTGTACTTGAAAGACTTCCAAAATTCCACCAGATAACCTTTAGCTGATAAATTCAGCAAAGTAGCAGGGCAGAGAGTAACATGCAAAAAACAATAATTTTCCTATAATCTAGTAATTAATATGCTGAGAAAGAAATCAGGAATAATTCCATTTATGACAGTCTCAAAAAAGATAAACTACTTAATAAACTAGATAAATCTAATCAAATAGGTAAAAAAAAAATCTCCACAGTTAGAATTACAGAATAGTGAAGAAAGGAATTTGAGATCTCAGAAGATGGAAAGAATCTCCATATTCCTGTAAAAACAGAATTGATATTATTAAAATGGCCATATTAACAAAAGTGACCTAYAGTTGGACTAAAATCCCCATCAAAATAAAAATTTCCCAAAGCTAGGGGGAAAAAAAAAACAGTCCAAAAATCATATGGAAGAATAAAAACAGAATAGCCAAAGCAATGCATAGGAGCAAGACTGCAGGCATCACAATATCCAATCTCAAATTATACTACAGGCATATAGTAACAAAAAACATCATAGTATTGACATAAAAAAACAGACATGAAGGCYAACAGAATAGAAATCCACATAGATCATACAGTCATCTGATTCTTGACAAAGCTGTCAAAAACATACAATGAAGAAAAGACAACCTTTTAAGCAAAAAGTACTGGGAAAACTGCATATCTATATGTAGAAGAATGAAACTATGAACCTAGTTCTGACCCTGTATAAAAGTCAATTCAAAGTAGATCAAAGACCTAGGAATGAAAACAGAAACACTACAACTGCTAAAAGAGACCATAGGGTCTACACTCTGATATATTGGTGCAAGCTCCAATATAAGACTGCTAAAGCTCAAAAAATAAAACCAAGAATAAGTYGGTGGCATAGATGACTTTTAAGCAATGGAGACAGATACCAACATTGTTCTTGTTGTCATCATTTCTACTGTTCAATGTCTCTGCTGTTTTAAATTTTAGTTTTATTGTTATACATAGTAGTTGGGTTCATCCTGGAAAACTCATACACTTTGGATCATGCTATTCAGAGTCCTGCACCTTTTTATACCATGTGCCTTCTGATTTTCCTCATGAGGTTCAGAATTGAACCAAACTACTGTTTGTTATCTATGTTCAAAATATTATGTATATATATATTAATAATTTCATATATATACACATTTTTCTCTATTTTTAAATTAGGCTGTCTGATACATATTTCTCAAACTAACAATATATAATCTTGGACAAATATTAAACATKATATTATAATAAACTGAGATTTGATATATATACAGGTTATGATTTATTTTTTAAAGTAAATTTATCTATTATGTGATCCTAAGGATTGAACCCAGTGCCTCATATGTGCTAGACAGTTGCTCTACCACTGAGCCACATCTCCAGCCCAACATGATGATTCTTTCAACCAGGGAATCCAGAGGTGGGTTTGATCCTAGTTCTGTACCCTTGGTCCATTATGYATTGGATCATGAACTTTCTCTGTTCTGAAACAGGGTGCCCTGGGCTAAAATTTCTAAGACCAGGAAGGGTTTTCCTCAAAAACAGGCTTTAAGGAGTTAAAATGGCACTACCTGGAGCACAGACCATGCTGAAAAACAAAGACACACAAGTGCTCATCCAGAACCTCAGAAGCAGATGAGTGCACAGAACCCCAACCTTCCCTGAGGGACCTGAAAGCCAGAAAACAAATGTTCTCGAGAAGGACAGATTCCCTTCTGGAACAATCCTACACTAAGAATTCTGAAACATTTGGCAATACTATTTATAGGCCCATGATGTCCATTCAAATCACCATTTAAAACACACCTTGAGACTGAGGATATTGCTCAGCAGAAAAGCTCTTATCTAACTTGTGCAAGACCCTGGGTAAGATCCAAAGCACATAAATCAATCAGAGAGAGAGAGAGAGAGAGAGAGAGAGAGAGAGAGAGAGAGAGAGAGAGAGAATATCTCCAAAACCAATGCAATATCCAGGCTGATCATCCATGTTATATCTCTTGTGTTTCCTATGCACCTACCTCCCACACCCCCACATACAAATGCATAGCAATAAGCCAGGCTCATCATTCCATATCTGTTATTTTACACAATTGGATAAAAACTATACATTGCAAAACAGCTCACATTTTGACAGCAACACAGAGGACAGTTTAGGTGAGAACACAGGAGAACACACTGAGGAAAAGGGGTTCTAGGATGACACCCAGAGTGGGACACACAGAAGAGGCTGGGTTGGGACAGGGAAGAACATCTAACAACACCTTCAGAAAGCTTAAGGCAGTAGATTCACACAGGAGCAAAGAAGCTCAAAGACTGTGTGAGAAAACTCAAGCTCTCAGATGCCCAGTTTTCACCCCAGTGGAAGGGAGAAGTCAGGTAGACTAGGGTTYCCTACAAAGAAACAGCCTTCACTGAGACAAAGGTGCTATGCTCATACTCTCCCCACCCTTCCCAATACAATCAAATTTAGTTTGGGTCAGAATTTTTTTCAAAATCTCAGGATGGTACTTCAGAAAAGTGCCTAGAAATTCCTAGGGCAAAGATTTGATCACAGCAACTGACCAAGGTCAAAGTCTTGGATCTGAAGCAGCTGGGAGGAGAGGGAGCTTCTCTCTCAGCCTGGGACCTCTGTCTGGACAGGACATCAGAGATGCAAGAATCTGACAGAAGCAGTCACAGGCAGGCAGGGAGGGGAGGRGCAGGAGAGTCCAGTGAACCACACCCTAACAGCCTGTTATGAGAAGTGGAAACCCTGGGCCAGCCAGGAAGAGATTTGGGCTGCAGCGTGGGGCTTTCCCAGAAACAGAGAGTGGTTCAGTCTTTAAATTTTTAGTCCTAGATTCTCATTGCCCAGGTATTTACAAAAAGGAACAACAGCAATCTCAGTTTCAACATAAATGGGCTTAGCAACTGCAATGATTGAGTTGGGTGGAGACTTAAAGCCACATTTTGACAGCACAAACTTACACAAAACTGAGAAAAYGTCACCTTTTTCCCAGAGAAAAAAAACAGGAGGAAGGAAAAGTAGAGGTATGGAGAGAGAGAAAAGTAAATGATAGTAGAAAGGGAAATGTGGAGATTATCAGAAGATGGCTAAATTCCTCCTCAGGGCCTTTCCCCAAGATTCCTGTAAACAGACAAACTTGCATAAATCCTTCACACACGGGTACTAAATTCCACACCCTGGGAGCTTGTGGCTAGAAYAGGCACCAACAGATGTAAAGACAGGGGAAAGGGAGGCAGAATGGGAGGTTCTCAGGCTTCAGGTGCAGGGGTGGATTCTGTCCCAGTGTAGGCAGCAGGGTTGCCTACCTCCTCCTGAAGTCCCCAGAGCTCTGCGCTGCAGCAAAGTGAAAGCAACTCCAGTTAAATTTCCCTAGAAGTCCCGCCCCCTTCTAGGGACCAGTTATAAAGTAGCAACTATATCACTAAGGGACCTACTGATAATTCTTAAACAAATATTTGCACTTCTGCTTTTCTCCAGATCATGTAAAAGTCTCCAACGAGAGGAGAACATTTGCTTTTTTCATCTGCCTGGTGTCTACAAAGGAACTRTTAGAGGGATACACAGGGAAGGGGTTTGTTTTTCAGGTAAAAGTGCTGCAACAGTAACATTAGCAATGATATAAAATACACTAAATTTTATGGTCTGAGCATAATCAATATAGATTATCGATTATAAATTGTAGGTTATAGGTTATGAAATATTAATAAGTAGGATAATAGGATTATGTGATAAGTGTTATAGAATAGATAATGTTAAGCTGCTGTAGTTATAAGTTAGAAGAAGTAATATCGTAGGATGACATAATCATCTAACTGTGAGACATAAGATTTAAGTTGTTAGAAATAAAATATAGAACAGTGTAAGTTGATAAGTATAAGCCCATAGGTTAACATAGTTACAGATAAGTATAGGTCAATGGAACAATACTTAAGTACAATGTATAGCAGTAGGCAAGTATAAGTACCCATCATGACTTCCTTTTTATGACTCCCATATGAAACTGTTATATAAGCTATCTCTAAGATGTTAAAAAAATATATTTTTCTATACTTCATATGCCGACAAATTGCTCAAACCCAGGATGTAGTTGTTTGTTTGTGCTCTGCTAACTGCTTTCTCAGCCCTTGTATTCTGCTTGCTTGACAGTACCTACATTTTCGAGTATGTGGTTTTTCCTCTTATAAACCCCATAGAACTCAAACCTGACACTGTTCCTGGCAGAGACAATTTGGTTCCTGCAGGGATTCCTGCTTCTGACCCTGCTAATAGGAACATTGTGGGTATATGTCATTTATTCCCCATCTCTAATTTGAATTCTCTGTCTCTACATTTTACCCAGAGCAATGGGGGAAAAACATACTTTTTCTTTCTTGGGAGCTATCCATTTTTTAAGAACTGCCTCTTCCGGGCCTGGTGACTCGTGGGTGTTTCATCAGGATGGTGTAGCAATTCAAGTAGCTGAGAGAATCTGTACTCATTTTCCTGGCTAAAGTACACAAGAAGGGATAAATTTCCTTATATMCTCTGTATTGAAAAATGCATACTTAATCTGGGACATAAAGAAAGTCATGTCAATGTAAGAATCTGTGTTTAGTATATATCATGAATATGGATGGCTTGCTTTGATTTTGGTCTCTCTGATGTACTTGCTGTGGAATTTTTATTTCTGCCTAAGTATTCATTCTTGCATCTGTATGATGAAGATAGTGACATAGCTAACTCCCTGGGTTGTTTTTAGATTTAATGGATGTGAAAGTAAATACACATACGTATCCATGCACAAAGGTAAAAAGCACTATATAAGAACAAATTATATTTTATCAGTACTAAATTTTAGTACTAATTCTTATTAGTAATACATATGCCAAGCTAACTGTGAGAAAGGATGATCCATTTACCTGGGAAAGATCATATATATATATATATATATATATATATATATATATATATATGTGTGTGTGTGTGTGTGTGTGTGTGTGTGTGTGTGAGAGAGAGAGAGAGAGAGAGAGAGAGAGTGTGTGTGTGTGTGTAATTTTTTTCTCTCAGCTGTAATTTCACTCTATTGGCTAAAGATTCTGGAAAGCAACAGAGAAGAAGCTGGAACTGAATCAAGAAACACATTATGTTGGTGGTCATCAAAAAGATAAATATATGAAAAGCCCCTAAACCTAGCACAATAAACAAGTAAACAAGCCTTTATATTTATTGAAGTATGGGTATGTTATATTTTGTTTATTTATATTTTTGTTTAATCATATTTTTCTAAACACAGWGGATAATTCCACTTTTTTCACATAAATTGTTTTTTTTTGAGAGAGAGAGAGAATTTTAATATTTATTTTTTTAGTTTTCGGCGGACACAACATCTTTGTTKGTATGTGGTGCTAAGGATCGAACCCGGGCCGCATGCATGCCAGGCGAGYGCGCTACCGCTTGAGCCACATCCCCAGCCCCAMATAAATTGAGTCCAGTGATCAACCTTTAGATAGAGAAATGCATAATTCATTTTTAAGTCAACACATATTTACTGGGGTTTATTGTATAGTAAATACATAGCCAGTACTTATTCATCTATAATCACTCTCAAGTACTGCATAGCATCCATAATTGTATGTGCTGTACAGGTATATGATGGCAGTACAGTAGGCTTGTTTCAAACAGAATCACCCCAGAAACATGATTTACTRTGCTATGAAGTTATGATGGTTGGGACATTCATTTCATTAGGAAATGGGAATATTATTAGCTCTATGATGCTTTAATGGACAACATCGTAGATGTGGTTTGGCCACTTTTGGAGGTAAACATCATCACGCAATAACATGAGTGTAGTACAACACAGAACAAATACAGGCTACTTCATTGAGGTATCTCCTCACAAGTCTGTGCTTGTACTTTGGGTATACCCCAATACTGGTCATCATGTTCTTTTATATTAGTAAGTAAGCCAAGTGGAGCCAAGTCCATGGCTATTCAAATTCATTTCCCAGCATCCCTTAAAACTGGTGTCACCTTGCAAGTAAGTTTGGGCCCATGGAACACAAGAAACCACAAGAGACAGAAAATAGGGAGAATTAAGAAAAATGATAGAATAGGCAGCCAGATTCCCAAGGTCTATAGARAACAAAGATTTGATGAGATATCTGCCCTCAACAGAGAAATGGGTGGTCAGGTGGGATTTACAAGTTCTTTTAATTCCCAATTCCTTGAAGATTATCTTTATTACCATGTACTAATTTGTAACTATAAACCTATTTCAAYATTCAGCATTTAATTGTTTCCTATGCTCACAGGGCTCCTTATTCCTCAGTTYTGGGGCATACCACAGAGGGGGCTCCAAAGGGACCATGAAGTYATTTAACATCCCAGAGATGTAGGAGATAATTTTGCTTCCGGTAGCTTGCAGGGAATTGCCCTGTCACCTAGCATGTAGAGAATCCATTTTGTTGATTTTGAATGATGAAGATAATTTGAAGAAGATCATCTGTAGCTAGAGAATGAAGTCAATTCCATGGCATCTAGGGAAGAGAGACATTTGGGATGAAGCTATCCATAACCCTGCAGAAGAAAAGGAAGATAGAAAGAAGGAAAAATTGTTTTCCTTCTGTCTTGAGACAGCATGATATTCTTGACAATGTAAGTACTCAAAAGTTCCCACCATCTTTCTCAAGTTTGGCCTTTTAACCTCATTCTAAAGACTTGAGATGCAGAATTCCTCATTTGGGGCATCCTTTTTCTCTGATGTGATGGCCAAGGTCCATTCCACATTCCTTCTTTTGCACACATAGCATGAAGAAATGCATTATTTTATTTATGTTCTTTTTTTGTTTTTTACTAACTAATGCAGCATCTATCATGTTTCAAGTATCACARAAATTATGAGGACTAAAAATTATWTGGATATGCTCTCTGGCATGAAGAAAATAAAAAGTTCATGAGAGAAAGAATTTGAAAAAAYATTCTCCTGATCCACTTCCTAATTCTCTGAGGAATGAACATATTTCTTATTAAATGCTTCCTTTTTCATCTCCTTTTCCTAAAATATAATGTATCCCAAGGTTTGGCCTCCAGTCATAGTTTGCAYTGGTCTTATCCTGTCTCCTCTAGTGATATCACTGGGCTTTAAGACATCAACACTCCTCTCAATTCAGGCACCTTCCCAAATCCATCAATATGGGACTTTCATAATAAATGTAATGATTTCTACCATTTTATGTCATATCTTATGTTATCAAAATATTTTWAAAATATCATGATATTCAATCTTTATGGTGAGGTAAATATTATATTAGTTTTGGAAAAATGAACATTTAATGAGTGCCCACTGTRTACAAAGTATGGTTGTAAGAACATCCTGCATGCTCACAGAACACTATTATCGTGGTGGATGTCAAAGTACTGACTTGTGAGGCACACACAAGGATCCAATAAAAAAAAATATATATATATATAAAGTGGTTTGACCTGAACTTCCCTGTTTTACCCTTATCATTCTGTTTAAGTTATTAATTCATTTTACTCTGAAAAGTGTCCTGGTTGGAATGATTATTATTATTTTTTTTTTAGAGAGAGTGAGAGAGGAAGAGAGAGAGAGAGAGAATTTTTAATATATTTATTTTTTAGTTCTCAGTGGACACAACGTCTTTGTTGGTATGTGGTACTGAGGATCGAACCCGGGCCGCACGCACGCCAGGCGAGCGCGCTACCGCTTGAGCCACATCCCCAGCYCTGGAATGATTAATTTTAACTGAGTAGTTAAGGGTAAGGCTACCTGTGCCAGGAAAGTTCTACTTCTTTACAGGGAAAAGCTAAATTGGGAATTGACAAACTACTAGCCAAAAAGTCATACCATCAAAAAAACAAAAAACAAAAACAACAACAACAAAAAAACAACGAAGGATTTTGAATGTGGACTTTTAAACATCTAATTTCTCTCTCTCTCTCTCTCTCTCTCTCTCTCTCTCTCTCTCTCTATATATATATATATATATATATATATATATATATATATATATATACACCTGGCTATGCCATGTTGTATATTTTCTAGATAAATGTTACAGTTTGAGTTCAACCTATTATGGAAGCTGACTTTATTTTTATTTTGGATGGCCCATAAATTACTATTTAAATTATCATATTCAGTTCCATGTGTCTTTGATGTCTATGAAATTATCTGATTGTGAGTCTAGAAATAGTGAGATTGATTATTTAGTGATTTAATAATAATATTTGAAGTTATAAAGATAAACATTTTTAATTGTGGTCATTGAAATTTAAGTTTGCAATAGTGTAATTTTCATCAGAAATTTCTTGTAGACTTTATTTRCTTTGAGTTTATATCTAAAGGAAATCGTGGATTTTCCTTTAGACTCAACAATATGACTCATCTCTCCTTTTGTACATCGTTATATGTTCCAGCATAATTCATATTTCACTGTTTTGAATGAATTGGAGACAGATTTGCATGTGGGCTGTGAGGGAGGCAGTAGACTCTTAATAGATGGTTTCCAGTCTTCTCCATCACATATGTATATATTTTGGGGAGAGGAGGGAGGGTACTGGGGATTGAACTCACATGCATTTGGACACTGAGCCACATCCCCAGCCCTATTTTATATTTTTTTTATTTAGTGACAGGGTCTCATTGAGTTGCTTAATGCCTCATTCTTGCTGAGGCTGGCTTTGACACAATCCTCCTTCCTCAACCTCCTGAGCCACTGGGATTATAGGCGTGTGCCACTGCGCCTGGCTACATATAGATATTTTTTAACCCCAGAAAARTTCAGCAATCTCCATGAGGGACTAAAGAGTCTTTTTATATTTTATTGGTACATTTTGGTTGTACATAATGGTAGGATCCATTTTGATATAATTACACTAACATGGAATATCTTTTTCTATTTAGGACCCCTGTCTTTTGGATGTACACAGTGAGATTCACTGTGGTGTATCCATATATTTACATATGGGAGTTATGTTGGATTTATTCCACTGYCCTTCCTTTCCCTATCCATACTCCCTTTCCTTCATTCCCGTTTGTCTAATCCATTTAAATCATACCCCTCCTCCAGTTTTGGGTTAGCTTTCACATATCAAAGAAAACATTTGACCTTTGTATATTTGGGATTAACTTATTTCACTATGCACGAATGGTCTCCAGATCCAACCATTTACCAGTAAATGTCATAAAGCCATTCTTCTTTATGGCAGTCGTATATATATTACAATTTCTTTATCTGTTCATATGTTGAAGCACATCTAGATTGGTTCCATAGCTTAGTTATTGTGAATTGTGCTGCTATAAACATTAATGTGGCTGTGTCACTGTAGTATGCTGACTTAAAGTCCTTTAGATATATACTGAGGAGTGGGATAACTGGGTCAAAATGTGGTTCCATTCTTAGTTTTTTGAGGAAGCTCCATATTGCTTTCCAGAGTGATTGTATTTCATTCCCACCAATAATGTATAAGTGTACCTAAGGGGTATTTTTAAAAACTTCCCCAAACTCTGCTATGCTTATGTTCATATTAAACCAAAACAGCACAAATGTGTCTTTCCCTTGCATAGAATGAAAGAGCAAATATCAATTTGGGGACACCAGCAAAACAATAAACATTTTATTAGAAGCCTCATAGGAACTTACCTTGTTTAATTTACTGGACAACATTTAAAATGTAATATAATCTCTATTTTAGATATAAAAAACTGAAGACAAATAAAAGTCACAAAATTAATAAGCAAGATTYAGCCTAAATTTACAATCAAATCTGCCCACCTTAAAATCTCATCTTTTCTAATCACCCTTCCCCTTATCTCCTATCCTCCAGACAGCAGTAAAGTTCACTATACTTTCCAAGGTGTATCATGAATATCACCATAATTTAAACTTTATTACAATTCTGGGCAGGAAAGTTATCTGAGTTAATCAATAACATGTATTTATTGAGCACCCACTATGTGACAAGCACCATTATAGGGACATCCCAAACTTTCAATGGTATTTTTCCATTTACTGTATGGTGATTTCCAGCACCTGCCTACATTTCTACTTATCCCCTGCATTTTCACAGGTTAAGCATCACATATTATTAAAAAAAATTCTCTACTTTGTTTTTAAACATCTTTTCATAGAAATGTGTTAGAACACCTGCATGGGAGTTAATTGGTTCCCCCTCTCTATTAATTGAGCCTGAATGAAATTGTTCAGAGACTTCCAATTATGTCTGTGTAAAGAAGGCTACCCAAGAGAATAGGAGCCACCTAGTGGCCACACTCTCTCTTCAATTCTGCACAAATACAAACTGGCTTTTCAAGTCCAGATGGTGCTCAACAGGAAATAGTCTAGGAAAAAAAAATGTAAAGAATGCCAGCGTTCTTCCAAAAAAAAAAAAAAAAGACACAAAAAATAAACCAAGACTCAAAGAACCTCATAAAGTAAAATTACCTCCATAAACTTGATGCCATGACAGCAGTAAAGTAAATCCATTGCATTAACATATTGTGATAACATTCTTTAATTTATTATCACATGAACTAAGATACATGATCAAATGCATCTTTAACAGCCTTAGGCTGTGTAAGTAACTTTGTTCTATTTGGGGTACTTTTATATTAATTACTTTTCACATCCACTCCCTTCATGTCACAAAACTTTACTCATGACTCTGGTGTTCCCTCTACTTGGGGAAGTTCATTATCTTCCCTTGACTCCCCATCTACCTATCACGTTTTTTCACTCCTACAATAGAGCAGTTGCCAGTAATTATGAGGATGTTCAATTCTCATCCTATGTATCCTAGATGAGGAATTCTATAACACTGAATTTTAGTGAATTGCTTTCATTAGTCATGGAATCTGGACCACAAAGCAGATTCATCCAGTGATTGATTTTGGAGATTATTAGAAAAAGCTTAAATTTATCTTAGGACAAAAACAATCACTTTACAACATTTGAAAATTTGACTCCAATAATAAACAATAGTAGATATTGTGTGCTACAGATACTGTGATGAAMAAGTTCTACTATATTTGACAATACAATACAGTGTATTTTCAAATCTGTAAAGAAGATGAATTATGTTTAATATTCTTACCACGACTRTTCTTTTTAAATGCAAAGTTACACAAAAAATGGTAGTCCTGAAAGCTTTTCTTTTTGACTCTAAGTTTTCAAAAATGCACTCTTAACAATGTTCAAATATCCCATATTTGAATCTAATCTCCAAGTTATTTGAGTCCCCATAAAATATTTTAACTTTCTACTACTTGTTTATCTTCAAGTAAATGACMATTTTTAATAAGAAAATGTTCATACTAGGAACATATTTAATCAGAATGTTATTCATACAACCCAMATCCTAGTGCTCCTTGCCCTGTATGGCAATCTGTTGTTCTAGTCAGACATGTGGGTACCCATGAATACTTAGGCTATCAGGGGACATCTTTTAATAATATAATACTCTGAAAAGGAATAGAGAAGATCAACCTTTTAGGTCAGGTAATTATAGGACATTCATATTATATAATGTACTAAGGATATTAATTAAATTATGTTCCTGTTTGGTATTGAAATTTTTGGTCTCTTAATCCACCCTTTATTTCACCTTGTTAGTGTTTCATTTTTGCTTTGTATTCATAGGTGTGAAGGAGCATGCCTTCAGTTGTGAAGTGGTAGGTACATTTTGCTAGTACCTAAATCTCTTTGGACTAAAACTCTAAATTCTGATTTTCATCATTAACTTKATGTTTACACAAAATTTGTTGACAATATTCATGTCTTCATGTTCTTTGTGAAAACCTAGAACAGCCTTCCAGCAAGATGGGAAATCACAGCTTGCTGAATGAGTTCATCCTCCTGGGAATCCCTCAGACAGAGGGATTGGAGACTGTGCTCTTGGYCATCTTCTCTTCCATCTACCTCTTCACCCTGCTTGGGAATTTACTCATCTTTAYAGCAATCATTTCATCCTCCACTCTTCACACTCCCATGTATTTCTTCTTGGGACTTCTGTCTGTTTTTGACATGTTGTTCCCTTCTGTAACCTGTCCCAAGATGCTCTTTTATCTCTCTGGTCTGAGCCGAGCCATCTCTTACAAGGGCTGTGCTGCACAGCTCTTCTTCTATCACCTGCTGGGCTCTACRGAAGGATGCCTCTATTCTGTGATGGCTTATGATCGCTATGTTGCCATCTGTCACCCACTAAGATACATGCTCATCATGAAACCTGCAGTCTGTGTCAGCTTGGTCAC